TAGTTCTTTGTCTTTTCCTCCTCTACACTACATGTTTCGGCCGTAATTGGCCATCATCAGGTGTATTTTTCACTACATAGCTGTCACACTGCACACAGTCCAAAATCTAAAACATCAGCCTGTCCGTTTTGTTTAAAATCTTGCCAACACACGCTCATCAATTAGATTTTAGAATTCCAGTTTTAAATTTAAAATTTCTAAAGTTTAAAGTTTTAAATACCAGGAACATCTGCTCTTGTCTACATGTGCTGCAGCGGCTATTTCTTGTTTTCAGCACCATTCATGTATTATTCTGTGCAGGCTCCCTGTGTGTGTGTGTGTGTGTGTCGCTGCTCATCTTTAATACTTTTGCCCTTTTTACTTTTTGCAAAAGTATTAGAGATGAGCAGTGACACATACACACAGGGAGCCTGCACAGAATAATACACGAACGATGCTGAAAACAAGAAATAGCCGCTGCAGCACATGTAGACAAGAGCAGGTGTCCCTGGTATTTAAAACTTTAAATTTTGAACTTTAAATTTTAGAAATTTTAAATTTTAAACTAAAATCTAATTGACAAGCATGTGTTGGCAAGATATTAAACAAAACGGACAGGCTGATGTTTTAGATTTTGGACTGTGTGCAGTGTGACAGCTATGTAGTGAAAAATACACCTGATGATGGCCAATTACGGCCGAAACATGTAGTGTAGAGGAAGAAAAGACAAAGAACTACAACCAAAATAAATTGTTGCATTCACGACGACATTTGTGTTATTACATATAGAAGATACATTTTATATATTTGTAGAACTTCTCAGCTAATTGAACTTGTGTACAGATGAACTGCTGCTACTCCCGTCTTCACGCTACCACCTACAACCATTGTGAAGTCGGGAGCGGTTCGTCACAGGCTCTCGCGTCGTGTTCACAGTGCTCCCTAAGGTCATTGCAGGGAATCCAAGCTCACAACAGAGGGCCTATCAGAAGTTATAATGATCAACCATATAACAATAACAAGATTTAATGAGAACAAAACACAATATAACGCACTACAAGAATATACAAAAAATAGAGCACTGTGGGCATACAATGTCGCTGACAGCCCAACATACACAGCTGATTTCAGCCCTATACTTATATGCACTTCGTGGCATCAAACTCAGCCGACATGCCCAGTTCCACTGGCCCACCTACATTATGTACGGACGTTGTTACACCACAACGCGACTTCACTACTGCTTCTTGGTCAGCCACAGACGGCCCCAAAGGAAATATATATACTACTTAAACAACTCCGCATATCACCACTATACCTTTCCCCTGATGGCTGGCGACCGCAAGTAACCCCAAGTCTGCGGCCAGCTCCCGACTACACCAAAACTAGATTTAGAAAAAAAACACTGCCGAACTGAAATTTAGAAATTCCTCCCGCTGGTTCGCCAACGTCCTAGCCCAAGTGGACCCACTCTCAGACTACTCCACCGCTCCCAAAACATACTTCCTTCTGAGACACACAGGGGTAGGAAGGGAGGGGAAAACCATGTGGTATAGGGGAAGAGGAGGAGAGGGTAAGCTCTAGGACAATGATGAGGGGTAGCGTGGAAGGTATGGCTGGAAGCCATGATGTCACGGAAGGGAGCCATTGCTTCAGCATGGCTCACAGATACCTCTTATTGTAAAACGTTGCCTTACAGAACATGGCTATTCAGAAACTTTATGTTTCTATCATCAGCTGAAAAGATGAGAAGCCACCTATACACTTGGGTCTGGTGGAAAGAACTATTCTGAATCACTGGAGACCCTGGAGACTAAGTGCCTTCCCAACTTCCCATCTAAGAGAGAATAGTTCCAGTTTCTGAAAAAATCATTTTCTTTTCAGAATACTAGACAATGAACAAGTTAAATATGATATTTATGAATGTGATGTGATATTAACAATATTAATTACACTGTCTAAGATAGTCACCTAAATCTTTCAAACAGGAAATGAAAAGAAGTTCAAGTTTTCTTATACTCCAGTGTTTTAAATTAACCTAAAAATTGAGGTGAATATCTACAGCTTTCATTTCTAAACCCCGCTGATACCCAAACTCAGCAATGATGGATAGCAACTGAATAATTTTAAGACTGCTTCGGTTATCAACAAAAGTCACTGAATAACAAATGCTATAAAACAGGTTCATAAAAAGCTACAAGATAAGATAAAAAAGGAAAGTAAGCTTCTTTAGAGTTTACAAGACAGTTGTCCTAATTCTGTTTGCATTTCTTTACTTTTTATTAGATGCTAATATACATCAGTCTTGTATTATGACATTTATTCATAATTTCAAAATAAATTTTTCATCTAACTGCAAACCCAAGAAATGCAATACATAATACAGGGTTATTCATTAGTCTGTGAAACATTTTGAAAATTTACAATAAATAATCTATGCAACAGATACCAAATTTTATTATACTGAAATAGAGATAAACTCACTAAGTTTTTTTTATGTAGTTCACAGATGCTCAAAGTATCCACCTTTGCTGAAACGGCAGACATCTATGCAATAATCCATTTCGTCCCACACCCATGTCAGCATATCATGGTTGACCAAAGCCACAGCAGCAGTGATACAGTTGCGAAGATCCCTGAGATTAGCAGGCAATGGAGGCACAAAGACAGTATCCTTCACAAACCCCCAGAAGAAGAAGTCACACGGGCTTAAATCTGGGGACTGGGATACACATGTGCCTTCTGGCATGAAAAAAATCAAATATGCTGTGTGTGTTGAGAATGAAGACTCAGTTATTGCTTTGTTAAATGAAGAACTCGATACAGACTCTGATGACCAGATGGATTTGGAAAATGTAGAAGAAACTGCAAGTGAACAATCCAGCGATGGGATGTCGAATAGTGAGAGAGAGAGTGAAACAAGTGTTATGCGTGTTGATGAGTGGGAAGACGTGACGATAGGGGACAAAAAAACCCAAGGCATACACGTTTACTAAAAATTCAGGGCCACAGTTTGACCTTATACCAGATGAAAGTCCATGGATTATTTTAGTTTTTTTTTTTTTAATGACAAGCTTTTGAATAACATTGTTACAGAGACAAACAGGTATGCGAGACACAAAATTTTGGAACGTCAGCTTAGCCTGAACTACGTTTGGAGTAGCTGGTCTGATGTGTCAGTTCCTCAAAATGAAGGCATTTTTAGGTCTAATTATATGGGCCTAATGCCATTACCTGATATGAAAGACTATTAGTCAAAGTACATGGGGTGATAGAATATATAGAGAAAGAGTTTCAGAAATATTTTGTGACAGGTAAAAACATTGCAATAGATGAATCAACAGCTGGGTTCAAGGTCAAAATAATTTTTAAAACGTATCTGAAAAAAAAAACCCTACAAAGTGGGGCATCAGATTATTTGTATTAGCTGACAGTGACACTGGTCATGTTCACAGTAAAATCATCACAGACACTGAACCATGATGGCCATTGCTGTACAAAAGGAACTGTATCTTGGAAGAAATATTTCCTCTAACTCTTCTGTGAGTCCAAAAGGTATCATCCAATTTATCTATATTTCACTAGTCTGGGTATAATAGTGAGCAGAAAGGCGCAGTAGCAGCCTGCCAGTATATCAGTGGTGTAGACCACAGTACACTTTTTCTTGGCTCTTTCTGGAAACCAGATCACTCTGACTTAACTTCCTGCAAATCCAGCAAATTGTGCCCATAAATGGGAAGAAATGGCTGACATTAAAATGTCTGCTACCCATGTCACACAACATGAACTGGAAACTTCTGGAATGAAATTCTCAAATAGCCAACTGCAGCTGGAGGACAGAGAATTGCATATCATTTAAGACAATTCTAACCCCAACTCCACTTCCAAACACCTGTGTATGTTCAAAAGGATTTGTCTTTTATTTCTGAGAGAACTGTGTTGCTTAACTGTTTAAATTACAACAGAATAATCATTACAACAGAATTATCAGGACATTAGCAGCAATGTGTATACAAATGAATTACCACATCAGTGTGCTTCAAGAATAGCATACTAAAACTGCTGTGTCAAGCTTCCTGCATGTATGTTAACAACAGTACATTGTTTTTTCAATGTTTAAGTTTCTGACACTACTGTTAGATGCTTAATATGAATTTATAAATAATTTATATTTATGCTCCACATTTTATTCTTGTTGACTGCAGAAAGCACTTAAACCCATCAACTGTAAAATAAGATTATATTTCAAATATTAATAGTATGTTTCTACACAACAGCTTAAATTATGTATTTTTAGCTGTATTTTAACGTGAATTTCTCTAAAATCATAAAATGTGTGCACCATACAGGATAAGTAGCTTTGTACAATGTTTTAAAAAACTCTTAAAGGACTCATGTCCATTCTGCAATCAGTGATTCAATTAAAAGTGTAAAATTCTAAAACTATAGAATGTTCCATTCAAACCTTCCACATTTTATCAGATCTTAGAACAGAAAGTATGAATAGTAGGAAAATGAAGGTACAGGAAATACAAGAACTCAAAAAATTTTATTTGACACACTAATAAACCTCTACATGTGCACCATTGGTAGCACGAACAATATCCAATCTGTATTCAGTTTCTTGCCACGTTATTTCCAACATGCCCATTGGTACAGTAGCAATCGTTTCATGGATGTGGGCTCATAAATCTGGGAGGTCATTCACTGGAGGCATGAACACACAGTCCTTCACGTAACCCTAGAGGAAGAAATTGAGCGGAGTGAGGTCTGGTGAACGTGGTGGTCACTGAACTGGTCTGCCATGTCCAATCCAGCGATCTTGGAAGGTGGCATTGAGGGACCTCCGAACATCCAGACCCCAATATGGGGGTGCTCCATCTTATTGGAAGATTATGTTAGGCTGCAGATCGGCTAGCTGGGGATACAGGAACTGTTCTAACATGTCAAGGTATATGCGGCCAGATACTGTAGCTTCACCGAAGAAAAATGGAAATAAAATTCTTTGAGTTTTTCTTTCATCTAGTGTTAATTATAATCCATAATTTATCACAATTTTTTTTGCAATGATTAATTCAAATGTGGGAGGTTTGAACAGAACACGCTGTATATTTACACAGAACACATTGTCACCATAAATATGCAATCCTTCAAGTCTCCAAATGCTGATCTTAAATGTTTTCATCGGTCACCTTTATTCTATGCTTTGACTTCTATTTTTGAGATGACATCAAGAGTCTTTTCTATGACACTGTAAATATAAGGCCGCTCCATTGGATTCACTCTCAACATATACAGAATTAATTCATGTATTTCCTGCAACAAAAGATATCATTTCAAATGTAGTGAAAACAGAGGCACAGAACTACGCGACACAAATGAGGCATCAATTCATTTCCTAATTTATAATCTTCTGCTACTGTTGTACAGCAGTTAAAGTTAAACAGAACACCCATATTCACAGGAACTTATTTTATAAATGTAGTTTACTGTGTCTGCAAGTATACAAATTCATGAAAACAATCAAATCTATTTATACTGTCTTCAGTTGAGACAGAAATGTGCTGCTTGCAATCATGAAGTGACAGTTTATTGCAAGACTGCAAAGCTTTCCCCCATGTAATGCTGACTCTCTCTGCTTAAAGATTCATTACTGATTACTGTAAAATGGTGACACTAAATTACATTATTTTATAAGTACTATTAGAATTGACCCCTTTCAAATTTCAAGCATGACTCCAAGCTAGTATATAAATTTTGTGACACATTCTAAAGTTTTGAAGCAATTCAACATATTACTCATATACAGATCCAAACACTATGTTTCTTGAAAATCATTCAGGCAAATAATTCACTGCACACTTATAATACACCACTACTCTTACACTGTGTAATGGCATTCTCTGAATGGTATAATTTTCTTCATTCTACAGTCTTTGGGTACTGGCATGTCCACTGTGGTGAGGCCTCAATGGTTATGACATCAGCATCTGTGGATCGACATATGTCATGCACATTTTGCTATAAGCAAATGTAAAAGTGAATTCTTGCTACATAATCTGATTACTTTAGCCCATGCATGTAAGTTATTTCATATAAGTAAAACTTGTTGTGGCTGTGAATGCAGAGCCCAGGCAACACCAGTTTCTAGTGCCAAGCACTTCAACAATTTGCAATGACTGACCTCTTAACAATGCCTAACATAAAGTTTTCAGCAGATGACTCAATACATGATTCTACTGGAAAGTTCCCAGAATAGGTAAAAAAAATAAATGCTGGCTTAAGTTACTCAATTTTGGCTGCCATCTCCTTCAAAGTAGTCACCTTATAATGTATACAATGATCCCATCTTTTTTCCACACTTCAAAAGCACTGTGGTAGTCATTTTCCTTAATGCTGTCAAGTACTGCTTGCAATTCCCTTTGGATGTCAGACACTATTTCAAAATGTCATCCCTTCAGTTTCATTTTCAATTTGGGAAATAAAGTGAAATCACAGGGGGCTAAGTCTGGTGAATAGGGAGGAAGGTGAACGATAACCATGTTGTTGTCTGTCACAAACCCTGTGGTTTTCTGGGATCTGGGTGGGCATGTTGTGATGGAGCCGGTCTATTTCATTGCACATTTTCTCTCAAGCATCTCAAAACGTCACAGTAAAAGTCAGAGTTGACCATAGTGTTGGAGAAACAAATTCACGGTGAGCAATCCCATTCATGTTAAAAAAAACAATGAGCATGCCGCACCTTTTTTGCTCTTGCTGACTGTGGTCTCTTCCACAGCAATGACTGTTGTTTTGTTTCTGGATCATAACCATAAATGAACTTTCATCACCTGTTATGATCCTAGAGATAGAAGCTAGGTCCATGTTAGCCTTCTCTCATAGCTCATGACACACATTTATGTTCCACTGCTTTTGATCATTTGTCAAGAGTTGGGGAACAAACTCTGGCAATGTGGTGCATTTTCAGATTTTCTGTTAAGATCTCCTGGCAAACTCCATAACTGACCCCAATGGGGTCTGCAAGCTAATGGATTGTTTGGCAACATTCTCTGTCGATGATTTTTCAAATTTTTTCAACATTTTCTGTTGTTTTGTCACCCTGAATGTTTGCCATCTTCAATTGATACTTGACTGGCCTTGAAACAATGAATGGAATTCAAAAACTGCTGTCTGGCTAAAAGAATGTTCTCCGAAAGCCTCACAAAGCATTTCAAGGGTTTCAGTAGTGGATTTACTGAGCTTCACGCAAAACTTTATGAGATACATTGCTTGAGTTTGCCATCCATTGCAGACAAAATGAAACACGAAGTTGAAAAAGCACTCGTGTAAAAACAGTGCGTGTTCACAGCATGTCAGTTGGCAGACTGATGCAATAGGTTTGTGGAAGTGTGACCTTGGCCTCCCCTCTCATCTTCTTTCACCAAAGCAGTTACAATAATAACAGTACGGGAACTTCCCGATACAAATGTTTAACACAAGTAGCTGAAGAAATAAAAGATATAACACAGTTTAATTTGAATTTTAGACATAATTATATCATACTAGATTTGTCACAAAACAAAACTATCTACTTAGCTTATTTAATGATGCTTTCTCAAGTGCACACGTTATACATTATACTGAATGGGCAGGAGGGTGACTGACAGAAAACTTGATGTCGAAGTGGTCATGACTTATTTTAACCAGATTAGAATTTACTAAAACAAATACACAGCTGGTACCTGAAACTTACTGGATCATATGGAGATGAATCTGGAAATGTGATATTGCCACTGATAACAGCCAATGCAACGCTGTCACCACGCTCATACACAGCATCAAATGGAGATTTGAAGTAACACATTGCATACAGAATACACCCGAGAGACTGGAACAGAAGGTAAGAAAGAGGAGGATATAATGACTTTGAACTACAAACATATGTAGAGTGTAATTTATGTTCAGGTTACATTCCTAGAAACAGTAATATATACTGAAAATTATGTAAATGAGAAACAAATCAATCACTTAATCTTTAGTTACATTTATTGCTCAAAATTTTATAATGAACAGAAACTGCATTAAAAAACAAAAAGTCCTGAGAAGAACAACTAATCAACTTTCCTTTTGAGTATATGATACAAAAACCATAAAGAAAACTTTAGTACGTATATGTAATGATGTCAATAAAACAATATAATTTGGGATACTGCAGTGTTGGTATTACCGACAGGAGTGATTTATAAAGTACACCGTTAAGATGGCCTCAGATGGCATGAGATATGTATCAAGCTTCATGAAAACTGGTTCTTACAATCAGATAATTGTAAGGTTATCACTCAACAATCTGAAAGGCTGCAGTGTTGGTATTACTAATGAGGATTTATGATATATGCCACTGAGATGACTTCAGATGACATGACACTTATATACCACGTTTCATGACTATCATTTCATGAATTAATATTAAGTATATTACCTCAAAAACTTTTTTGAGATACTGTAATACTGTAATACCAATAAGATGGATTTCTTATGTATGCCATTGAGATGGCCTTAGGTGGCATGATATACATACCAAGTCTCATGATATTCGAAGCACAGGATTGTTGAGGGGATAATCAAAAGGGGAAGCACAACAGATCACTGTAGGTCGTGGTGCAAAGGCCGAGAAGGCCCACCCCTTATACATTCATTCATTCAAGTCTCATGATGATCAGTTCAGACATTCAAGTAATATTAAGGTTTTGCCTCAGCAATCAGAATGGCTGTAATGTTCATACTACTGACGAAAGGGATTTATGAAATGGCTTCATGTGGCATGAAATACATACAAATTTTCATGAAGATTGGCATGGATGTTCAAGTAACATTACGGTTTAGCCTCAGAAATCTGCGTGGCTGTAATGTTGGTATTACTGAAGTGAGGAAGTGAGGGATTTATGAACCATGTCATTGAGATGGGCTCAGGTGCCATGATATACATATCATGTTCCATACGACTGGTGCAGGAATTCAAAAGTTTTGGGGGGATACACATAAAGACACTGCAGTGAAGCAACAGATGTCTGAATGATATAAAGAAGAAACTGTATGAAATATGATATCATACACAATTTCTAAATTCTACTGAATCCACACAGTTATGTGAACTAACTCCATGTGACGGAATCATTATTCAAAAGCTAACACTTGTCTGGTCAAAAAATTTTCAGCCCCATAAAATCCAGATTTATTACCATGTTCACAAGCAACAATCACTGAACCAATCTGGAGCCAGCTGAATCTAATTCAGATTCTCACACCCTATATTTTAAGATCTGTTTTAATACTGTCCTCCATCTATGCTTGATTCTCTCATGCTGTATCTGCCGCTCCCAGTGCTTTCTAATATATGGTTTAAAAACTGAAAAATGTTCCAAGGGCATCTGAAATTTTAAAATCATATCACCACTGCCAAATCAATGATTAACAATGTAAAATATTATAATCTCTAGTCCAATTTTTCTACATTTCTCACAGTTCTAATAATATTTTTGATAAGTAATCCACACTTTTAAGTCAGAGCCACTGATTTGGCAGGCTGTCAATTCTGTCACCCAAACTCCCCTCTTAAAAAATATGGAAAGTGCTCCCATTCAAACATAATATCACACATAATCTACCTTCTCCTCATTCATGAACACACTTTGGGAATAATCAGAACCTGCTACATAAATATGTTCGAAGGTATGATAGGTTCTGAAAGATGAACCCCTTTTAATGTTTCTCTCTGGCAATTTCACCATGGTATAGGAATAAAGATGAAAAACAGTCAAAATACTGCTCATATTAAACGACTTTCACACATAACAATAAGACAGATCTCTAAATACTACAGATAAGAAAACGGCCATCATCAACATTACAATAATGAAGTCTCATATGCATGTTTGCATGAACATGTCCCAATATGCTACAGATTTCATCTACAACAAGCACTGAATAAGTGGTGTCACACCAATGTATGTTATACAAGACTCATTAATGACATTATGTTTTAACTATTGAATTTTTAATTAATAGACTTGCATAAAACTGTACAAGTTGCATAAGGTTTGCCATTACTTTTACTACTAAAATTAACTTATTATATTGTACATGTTTATCAGTATTTTATACAAATGTGCATGCTATTGGATGACAACTGTAATCCTTAGTTATGACTGTAACAAGGATGATCTCCACATCCGCATGAGAATGTACTCTGGACAGGATTTATGGAAGGTGAATAAATGAAATGAAAATGAAATATGGGGCAAGATTGTCAGGGCACAAAGAAGCAGATTTCTTCTACTTTCCCATGGGGAAAATAGATATAAAATTCTTGCCATGACTAAGTTCTGTGATAGATAAACACAGCTGGTGGTGTGGTGTTATGTTACAATAGTTGTATCAATTGTTCATTCTGATATAAAATATATAATTGTGATTTAATATGTGTGCATTAGTGTTCCCACACCATAGTAGTTTTCTCATACTAACACAGGTGTCATTATGTTTGAAATTTTGCCAAGCACATATATGCAATGTATTTTACTGTTCCCAGGAAGAACAGATATAATGAGACATGGGGATGAAAGGGCATGGAAGTAATAATAGAAAGGAAAGGAAAAAATACGGTGAATGATGAAGATATGAAAAAAGTTTCCTCATTTCATTTCACTGAGCTTTACCTCTCCGGTCTAGAAAACCGAAATTAATGGCCATAGGGATTCATTGCGCTGAACACGCGACACCCTCTACCCACTAAAGTTGGTATTAACTTTGTCAACAAGCAGTGCTCACTCGGTGGGGTGATACCTGCTTCATAAGATTCTCTCATTTGAAATAATGCAGTCTGAATTTACCCAAATGTCAGTCCTTTCATCAATCATACAATAACTCTCAACACTGAAGAGTTCTGGTGCTCGATATGGCATTGAACATCGTTCACTTGCAAGATCCTGTAGCTGCTGAGCTTCAGAACTGCCACAGATCTTGACCCTGGCCACTGCTACTGATCCTACATAAAGATCATAAGTTTCCTTTATTTCATTTGTAATTATAGATTAGTATGCACTGCTTTAACCTACAAGACTACAAACAAATTTCCACAAGACTGACACACTGTTTTCTAAAATATATGTTATTTCTTCAGAAACAATTAAACAGGAATACAAAATGCAGTCTGAAACAATACAACATGAAACTTCCTTAATGTAAGAGTGATAGAAGACATTCTTCTATGTGACAATCATTATCACAAAGTGAATAACTTTAAATTAATTTCATTTACATAGTATCCGATATGGTTGTTATACTCATAATTCCCACACTCTGAAACAAAGAAAAATTATCAATATACAAGGTGCTTTTTAACTGACACTTCAGCTAATGAAGCTACACATACCAAACTGAACATGTAATTGGGCTAATTACTGTGGAAAACAAAGCAGAATTACAGCACTGAATTAAGGAATCTCTGCAACATGTTAAGTTTGGTTTCTGAATAAAGTTTACCAATCCCAAGCTCCAATAATCACAAACCTAAAAAGAAAGAAAACTGAAGTAAATGAGTGTAGAAGGTTGGCAAGGACAAACACGTCTATTCAAAACATTAACCCACTTAACCTGAGACTTTTCAGCTTAAATATTTTATGAATTATCCAAGACATGATGCCACAAATTTCCAGAATGGTCTAATAAATGTCCATATAATAACATAAGATGCTAAAGAACTGTTAAGAAATCTTTACACAAACAGCAGCTTAATCTGTGTACAAGAACAAGCCCTATGAAAGAATCCATGACATTCATTTATGTTGCTGTTATTCTTACAGTATCTTCAAGCACCCACTGACATTTCTCATTTACCAATAAAAATGGATGAAGTTAAAAAAGATATCAGTCCAGGTTACAATTTTACAAGTTGTGTTAATAATTATTTAAAAAAATGCAAATTAAAATTTATAATGTCAAAATCATGGGCTTCCAAACACAAGGTGATTACTATAACAGACATGAATTTTCCATGATAAAAGAAAGTAGTGCATTCGGCCATCAGAACCTGGTCTGGAAAGCTACACTTTAGATAAACGAGATAAACAGTGGTGAGTTGGCAACTGTGCAGTAAAATCTGAAAAACCATCTTTCATGCAAATGCAAATTCATGTAATTCAGTCTTCAGGGATTATCACGTTCACACCCAAGTAGACTGGTAACTAATGCAGGCACTAGCCAACACTAACACTACATAATGCAATAAACATTCTTTAAATTATGTTACAAGACAAGTCTATCCCACATGTCTAATAGTGTTTACCACAGAGAAATCTCATTTAGATAAACCTGATCTCCTAGCTACTAAAATACCAGAAATGTAAAACAAAATTTGCCTTTTTAAATTTCCTTCTCCTGTGTTCTTTCATAATTTACTAAGACAGTGTTTCACACAAACTTTCTATAAATTTATCATGAAATAAAAATCTGGTATGATTCACTTTTCTTTGCTCTAGTTGCCAATACAATGCTGGTATCCAAAAAACCATCTTAATGACAAAAGTATGTATGTAGTTTCTGTATTTGCATATTTTAATCTATTAGCTTGGGACAAAATCCATATCCACTGGTCAGCTGTACCATAAGGATCAACGGAATGTATAAATGTAAATAAAATAAAATAAAATAAATAACCATTCTACCATGATGTGCGAAGATAACCTAAATATTGTAATTACCATGCATTTGACAAAATACAGTATCACATAAATTTTTACAAACCTAAATCCATAATGACTGGTGACTGATCATCTGATATTAAAATATTTGCTGTTTTAAGATCCCTGTGGGCTAAGGGGTTTGGTTTAGCTTCATGAAATGCTTTAACACCTTCACAGATATGCAGGAACATATTCAACATTTCTGATGCATTCATGTATTCCCTATGCACACTACGACGTTCCAAGTCAAATGCTAATGTACCTCTCTGAAAATTAATAAAAGCATGTTATTATATATTACTACAATATAGGACCAACCTTGACTGCAGCAGGAGATGAGTGGTTAGCTTCATGCTCCAGCCACTTCTGGCAGAAGAGCTCTTAATATGCATTTTATAACTAAACACAAAATGAATCTGGCAATATATAATTAAAAAAAAATACCACTGACTGGCCTGAATATTGTACTTCTCAGCCACCTTGTACATTTGTAAGTAGTTAAAAGAACAGTAGTGCAGTTTTAAGATATTTAACATACTTGCCACATAATAATAAGTGCAGTAAAAATAGAGTGGTAAACCATATTTTTTCCAGAATTTTATATAATATGCTTTGCTTTTTGAAAAGTGTACCAAATATAATTTCCTTAACCTTAGCAGGAAACAAGTAACCACTTAAAAATATAAATGTGTACCTTGTAGTATGGTAAAACAATCATCACTTCACTTATAGAATTCAGGACTGGATTTGGTCGATCCTTCAATGCTGAATCAAAACATTCAATTATATTTGGATGCTTCAAAAGTCCATAGTACTCAATCTCTTTCATAGCAACTTTCAGGTCCTCTTCCCCATGGCAGATTATTTTTTTAACAGCATAAGTCTTGTGAGTATGAGCATCTTCCACAAGGTCCACAGTGCTAAAACCACTGGGTAAGAAAGAATTAAACAGCATCATAATCGTTTGTATGGACTAGTAACATTACTCACAACCAAATTTCATAAAATAGGACATTAGCAAGTCTGAGTAGATTAAATTATACCTCTTCGATCTAGTAACTGTAAATAAAGCTCTAATGCTGCGATTAATGTAGGCACCTATTATTCAGTGACCTAAACTGCTTGCAGACATTGAATAACAAATGCTGCGGCACATGTCGATATTATATAAATGAATGATTTAGATTTTACTATAAGAATGAATGAACATTTAATTTATTAATTCTTACCCTTCTCCAAGGTGTTCTAGGACGTAATACTTTCGTGAATTAATCAGAATGGTTTCCCTTGAACAAATACATCCCATTTTTAAAATTATGCTTAAACCTAGGCTATTCATGTTTTCAGACGTGTATTGCAATGGCAATTAGTCCATACATATTCCAACAAATAAAATTTATTATCATCACAAACACAACACAAGTGGCACTATACCAACAAGTCTACGTTTACTTTCACATGAATTACTTGACATCTTGACCGGTCTTAACCTTTCTCGGGCTTTAGTAACTGCAAGTTTATGGTTTCTTCTACAACGGTCTGCAGTATCTTTGAAATATCTCGAAAGTCAGTATAGATCGTATATTCCTATCGAGAAATACAGATGATTTAATGTCATTCATTGCTTAAATAAATAGCGTGGATGACGGTGCAAATATCATCTACTTCTCCAACTAATGTACGTTATTTATTATATTCCACGCAAATTATTTGGAGTCTTGAGCTGTGTCTTGTAATTTAAAATGATTAAAGTGTATGATTTCACCTACAGTTAGCCTTTGGGATTGATTGTCTGAAGATTACATTTCATGCAATCCACCGTGACATCCATGACTTCATCAGTGGGATCAGTGGTAACGAACAGATCTTTAGTCTGGGATAAAAGAGCGTATACTCCGTTGAAAGTCTATCGACGTTTCGGAGGAACATATCGCTCCCATCTTCAGTGTCGACAAATAAGTCAAGCAAGAAATCAACGTGTTTCACGGCGATCAATCCTAGAAGATAGAACTCTTGACATGTATGAACACATGCATTCGGAAACTCCCAGCTTGTGGTATCAATGTTATACGCCCTAGAAACAAGTAGATATTAGTATATCGAACATTAACTGTACATACTTTGTATGGGCAGATTTTACCAATTAAATTCGTTTACATCCCCTGACACAAGTCCCACAGTCTATGATGTATCGCTTCTACACAGAATTTGAAACGTCAGAGTTTCATAAAACTCTGCATGAACAGTATGCCACTGAAGACCATCATGCTCAAAATATTGCATTCAGTAATAAAACATGATGGACGCGTGAACTCACAACATGTAAGACACAATTGTAGCAAGGAACCTCCAGTAGCACACTATTGTGCACCCCTTCCTTATTGTGGTAGCTTTTGGTGAGCTTTGTGAAATTGAGCAATGTTAAGTGAAGTTCGGTTACACTAGGTTTGCGCAACATTTAAGTGTGCACCTCCTTCCTGACTGGTGCAGCACTTGCTGAGATTCAGCAATGTTAGGTTCGATTTGCACAACACACCACTGGGCATTTCCCCCCTGACTGGGGTATCACTTGTGGGAGTGAGCAGTGCTAGGTCAAGTTAGGTTAGTGCACACATCATTGCACATCCACTTATTCTCACTGGCAGAGTTGAGTGCAATAGCATTAGGTTTGGTTAGGCTGTTTTAATTTATATCATATTGACACATCACAGTAGCTCACATCCATCAGCCTAATTATTTATTTATTTACTTCATATCCATGGACCATTATACATACTATAGGACAAGTCAAATACTTTGCAATAATAAATAATAATAATATATACTAAGATAGTACAATGATGATTCTAATAATAAAACTAATATATCGTTTAACACACGACACTGCTGTACACCTCAAGACCCAATCCTTCTATCCCGGCACAAAATACCCTGGTTTACTTGATCTTGTTCCTGTAAGAAAAAAATAGAGTAGGGCAGTAGGCATTCCTATAACATTACTAATATTAAAATCTACAAGTTAGATATTCATGAAATATATGTTTACAAGTGATTAGAACTAGGATTTGCCCCCAAACAAGAGAAACTCGTCTGTACTATAGAAACAATTATCAAGTAGGAATGTCTTCAAAGTCTTTTTAAACTTGTATAGTACTGGTATCTCTTTAATATATCGTGGCAACTGATTTAACATACGAAGTCCAATATTATTGAAATTGTTTTTGTATAGACTCGTATTACATGTCACTATGAACAACTCTTTTCTCCCTGTATTGTGCGAGTGTATTCCTGAATTGGTTATGAAAACATTCAAATTGGTTTTTATGTAAACTAGAATTATATATATATATATATACAGACATGGTAAAGGTAATATATGTAACGATTTAAAATACTGTTTACAACTAATGGTTTTTGGGATTTGTATCATAGCTCTAATAGCTCTCTTCTGCAACCTAAAGATCAATTTTGCATTTCCTGAATTGCCCCAAAATATTAATCCATATAATAACAAGGATTGAAAATAAGCATAATATATAAGGTTTCATGTGTACCCCAAACTCTACGAGAATATTATACATTCCTTCCCTCCTAATTCATAGGCTTTCTTAAACTTTACAAATACCCTATATATTCCAATTTTTCTCCAGTATCTGACAAATGCAAAAGATCTGACAGTAGTTGATCTGTTACATTGAAACCCAAACTTATGATCCCCAATAACCTCATCTACTGTATATGGACTTAACCTTGAGAGGATCTTGGATAAAATTTGTATGAAGTCGATAGTAGCGATGTCACACAGTAATTACCAGTCAGTTTTATCATCCTTGTGAACTGGTACAATAATAGACTCTTTCCACTGATCATGCAAGTTTTCCTTATTCTAAATAGAATCAATTAGCTTATGGATCTCAAAACATAATATTTCACATCCTGCTTAAATTTGATCACTACCTTGCATTTATACCTTTTAAAATTTGCAATAGCAATTTCAGCCTCAAAAGGACTAGGATCAGATACTAACACCTCTGCTGTATGTATTTCTATTTCCCTAACAACATTGACCCTACATACATTCAATAACTGAGGGTGGTAGTTCTTTCACATATTCAAATGTTGTGGGAATCTGCAAGCAGATCGCCATTCTCATCCTTCACTAAGTTACTTCTAGGTCAGAAACCCCTCTTAAATTCATTTATTCATCTATACAGGTCTCTAATATTCTCATTATGTTTGCTGCAAACTCATCAATTTTGACTTTCATGTATTCTCTCGTTATTCTTTGAAAAGTTCTGGAACAGAAGATAAGTCATATTGTGGTTACAGCCTGCTCATGGATTTATATATGCAGGCCCTCTGTATACAGTAAATAATGCAGAGCCAGCCACAAATAGTTTGGTCAGTCTGGCTGGAAGAACACATCCTACTCACATCAACTTACATCATGCATATTTACATTCACTATGTAGTGCCCCACAATCCAAAACTCTGCTACTGAATTAAGCATTCAGTCAGTAGTGTTATTTCTTAGGTTAAAATGCCACGAATGTCGCACGTTGAAACAAGCTTTCATGTATGATAACAGTTCAAAGAGATTTTGGCATAAATATCAGGATGTTAAGACCGCCTCTGTGGTCTAGTGGTCAGAGTTCCTGGCTACAGACCCACAGAGGCCCCAAGTTCGATTCCCGGCACTACCATATTTTCTGAGTAGTGCGTCTGGAACGGGGTCCACTCAGCCTCGTGAGGATAACCGAGGAGCTATTTCAAAGAAACGGCGGCTCCAGTTTAGAAAACCAAAATTAACGGCCATGGGGATTCTTTGTGCTGACCACGCAACACACTCTATCTGCTAAAGTTGGCACTTTGCTGGCAAGCAGCAGTCACTTGGTGAGTATAGTTCACTTACGGACGCATGCCACGGAGTTTTTTTTTTAAGTTTTACATCAGAATGTTAAAAGTTTCAAATCAAAAACATTAGTCATATGATCATAGGTACGTTTAAACACACAGGGTCATTAATTACATGAAAAGGAACCAAATCAGAACCCTGAGCGCTTGTTGAAAAGATACTGAAAGAAACTGGTGGCAGGCTTGAACATTCCCCTTGAAAATCCTGTAGATATCTTACACAGGCGACCATGATTTAAAGCCTAAAGCTTGCTCGATTGCTGAAAATAACTTGTGTGTGTGTGTGTGTGTGTGTGAATGTAAAGAATTTATGGGGGTACAAGGAAAGCGTACATAGTGATCAGAGCCATTTCTGGCACCATCTGTGTCCTACGAGTTTTGTTTATGTGGTGTTGGCTAGGGACTTCTCAGTAGCACTGTGGGTATGGGTGCACACAGAGAGAGTTCATGCAAGGACCTCGTGTCTCTTTTCCAGTGGATTCACCAAATAATTTGGAGCAGGCTCTTAAATAATCTGCCTTTATAATGGAACTATTCAGTTATGGTTACATTAGTTGGCATGAGATTCCATAGGGGAGGCTGTTGTATGGAATATTTTGAAATGGGAAAAGTGAGTAACTGTCTTGAACAGTGGGCTAATATAAAACTCATGCAGCAACTGGGAAAATCAGAGACAGAATTGCTGCAGATGCTTCAGTGTAGCAAATTATGTTCAAGATCTGACAGAGGCCATTACTGCTGATGAACAGTTTACATTAAATTAAATGTATGTGTGTCAAACATGTTGAGCTGTATGATTATTTATGCAGAACTACATGCATTAGGTAGCATTTTTCTATGTTTAATTCAGGTTCCAGTTGTTATATGTGGATCACATGTTCAAGGAAGGAAGTAGCCTCACAATGGATGGCTTGAAATATTGCAAAAAGAAGACAAAAGAGAGGTAGAGAAGGTTGTGCATTCATAGTTGTCATGTGACAGAGATGACCACAGAGGTGAGGGAATTTCAGTTGGTAACTGGCAGTAGGTTTGTTTCAGCTTCTTACTCATCACTCCAATAGGCTGATACGGGAACAGTACAATGTTACGAGGATCACTAAAGAACTTGTATCAGCTTATAATGAGGAGTTTCTCTATATAATTATGGTGCTTCTTGTATGATCCTAAAAAGTAAACAAAATCCTCCAGGTGTAATCACTGTCACTGTTATCACTAAATGTCACATTGTGACTATGTTGGAAGTCAGTTTTCATTGGCAAAGCATCATGTACCAGCAGTTTATTCCTGAATGAGGGCACAGTCAACACTTAGGGATACAAGGCTGTGCCAGCCCACATACACAAGTCATTTGCTTTAGCATCTCACATTCCTGAACAATATACATTTTAAGGAAAAGGTGTAGACATAAATCTGATTAAAAATAAATCCTTCTTACTCAAATGACTCATTAACACAAAACCAACTATACATTAAATATTGAAAAGGAGGTAACATTTAAACTGACAAATAACTGTAAAGATAATAAAATTCTAAACAAAAGATCTACTAGGATAGCAGGCTTCCAATTTCAAACTGAACATGGTCACATGATTTTGTACTGAATGAAATATGTATATAAATTATTATTGTGTACACTTGGTGACAAATAAGAATAAATAATGACAACTGTATTTACCTTTTTTGAAAACTTTGTATTATGACTGGCAAATTAAATCTGTGATTATTTATGGGCCCAGATAAATTTTCCATACCAAACTAAATGAACTGCATATAATATTCAGGTTCAAATATATATTTATTACCAGAAAATACAAACAACACATTATTATTAAAAAAAATATACTGTAATATATCAAAAGTCACTCTTTAATATGTATTTTGGCAGGAATGGAATGTACTATTTTTCATTATTCAATACTTGCAAGTTTTTCCAAACATTTACTCCAATCTCTTCCTTCTCTGAGATTATCACAGACTATGGACAAACTCTGTATCAGGGTTTCTCAACTGCCAGGCCGCGGTCCGGTACCAGGTGCTTGTCTTACAGAAAAAAGAATTTACTGGGCTGCGGTCTGACAAAGGTTGACAACCTCTGCACTATATAACCTCCCATATGTAAGCTATACACTTACCTTCTCATTTCTTTATATAAGTATTATCAGTATTTAATATTACTAGTCACTTGTTATCCTGATGGAGCTGCAAAATAATATTCATGCATTAATATCAGCCTGCAGTAACTCATTGGCACTAGTAACGATGCGTAACTATATGAAACCTAAAAAAATGTTTGAATCCTTGTACATTGTGCTGTAAATAAAGGCAATAGTGATACATGACAATAATCAAATCACATTACTGTACATGACATGATTAAAAATGTAAGTTATAGTATTAACAGAGAATAGCTCATAAGTTGAAACAGACTACCAGTATATCTCAATAAAACAGATGAGATAGGAACAAGCACTGTACCATTAATGCACTCTCAGTTTTTATGTGAGCCATTTTTCAAATCACGCTAAAAAATAAAGACTTCATTCAGCAAAGAATGCTGTTTCTTCTAACTGTTAACTTTTTCCATTGATTTTTTTCACTTTCACTTAAAACATTAGAACTGCCAATGCCATAGTTAAACATAACTTTATTTAAAAGTTATAAGTTTATGTTTAGCTATGGCATTGGCAAGATCTTTTAGCAGTGATACCACAATATGAGATTAAAGTTTTAACAATAAACACAAAATACCATAGAAATTGTCATCATGTATAACATACAATAACACATTTCCCAAATCTTAACTCTTGCTCATTTCATACATAAACCGATCAAGCTTTCCATCAATAAAAACTGCATTTTAAGGTGAATCTATATGCTTTCTCCTGCGTCCTTCATAGTGATTATCTGAAAACCTGCCAAAAATTGAACAGCTGGTCGAACAGAAGAAATGCTTACTGCATCAATTTCATTGTGTTCAGACCCACACCACAATCAACAAGACCTAATCATAAACAAAATCTTACCTATCCAGATCAAAGCAGATGTGAGAAATGTTCCATCATTATGGGCACATTCCCTGCATCTGTGCAAAACATTCACTCATGTTTCAAAGTTCCTTTTTGCAAACAGAACAAACTTGGAACTTTAACCTATCTCCTTCGCAAGGCATCTAGGGGATTTCTGAGGGAACTGTTTAAGCCTAGCACCCATTTCATCTAAATTCTTTTTAGTAAGCACTCTATATTTTGATTACATTCTTTATTAATGACCTAGCCTGTCTACATTTATATAACTGTATAACTAGTTTCCCTATTTTAAACTGTAATATCCTGAAATTTATGTCATTCCTTACTATTCATACATGTACTATATATGTGAACACTTGTTCCAGTGTGTGACTCTCACCTTCTATTTTGATACAAGTAATGTGACTTAGAGAATGTTTAATATGGTACCTGGAGCTCAGGATTACAGTCAACAGGCACAGAATTCATGGTAGTTGTTCAATGATTTATTGGGAAAATACTTTAGAGAAACTGTTTTGTGTATATGGATTGGTCTGTCAACTATGCAACAAATCTGAATATACACGATGAAGCTGATGCAAGGAGCATGTGTTTTGTGGCAGTCCTTCAGATAATCTTCCTGTACTTTGACTAGTCACTGGAAGTTCTTCTACCAATTGTCACTCATACATTGTACTAAATATCTACTCATGCTATTCCCTGTCCATTACCAAACTTATTGTATTACAAACAATGAATGAAATCTAAGTTCAGTGTCACCAGCTGTCTCATTAAGAAAAAATTAAAGGATAGTCAACAATAATCGATGTAACTATTTTTCATCAGTGTATAATGGATACAACTGTTCATATTACTAGAATTACTAACCATTATAGTAAGAAATGTTTTATCACTATAGAAATTCGTTTTTATTTATAAAGTGCTTAGTCTCCAAATCAAAGCATTCACTCCTCTAGTTTGTTGTACTTGTGCACTCTTTTATACAGTTTCCTGCATATTAATACATGAACACATAATGAACAGATGAACAAATCATCTTCATTAATCTTGCAGCATAAATGTACAAGAAATCTATAGAAATGAAAAAAAAAAACGAACAAACACATGAACTAATCACAATTGACATGTATACCCGAAGACAGATATAAGCATGTGTTCACACCCCTATCCAGCTGCCACACCACATACCAGTTTGTTTACAAAACATGGTAAGAACAATTTTCACATGCTTATATGTATGGGGGGGATCAACCTCACATCCGACACCATTACTCTGTAAATATATATCAGAAATAAAACATCACAGAGTTAATAAAATATATTAATATCTTGCAACTAATGTCTTCAAATATTTGAGATTATGCTGTGAATAAAGTAAATGAACTCTAAGATAAAGTTTAAAATTACCTGAGTAGCAATTACAGCAAAACCTCCTTACAGAGAAAATAATGAGACCATTTCTTTCTTTTAAGGAGTCCTCTGTAAAGGGATAGAGCACTTTGAAAATTCCCAATTTTTTACTTGTCTTGTGTTTGTACTTATTTTGTTTTACAGACATTCTGCACAGTACTTAAAACCTGTGTGAAAATCTACATTAAGCTCCAAATTTCTGTGTTTGTGAAGGTCACAAATTTTAATGAGGAAACATACTGCACAGTTATTGATTACACAGTGCAGAATATTTATGACAATCAGAAACGTTTCTAAAAGTGAAGAATTCAGGTCTAGTGAACATATCAAACCCATAAAAATATTTTGGTTAGCTCTGTCTTTGCCTTTGTCCTATATTATGTCCTGAAGCTCAAAAAATGTGAAAAAAGTTAGGTACTTCTGCTTGATATATATTATTGCTATATATATATACAGGGGATGGGCAAAAATAGCCAGTGACTAACCACTTGAGCTATGGTGCGGCCTACTTGAATAATAGGAATGATACCAGGAATACTGATTACAAAATTTCACTCTCTTATATACAACACAAACTTGTTTAGAAAATCTATTCAGGGATTTGATTACATTAAATTATTCATAACAGTTTTATAACTTCTGCCAGATCTTCTTGTAACCATCAGTTTGAAACATCACCAGCACTCACAAATCAAACACATATGACAGCACCAACTCCATTTACTCAAGTATTCTGTGAACTTAAAGTGCAACATACTTCTGAACACATTTTATATTAGGCAAGTTCATATTGAAGCCCATAGGATTATACAATGCCTTCAAATTCATAATAAAGAGACTATAATTAGGTGAAAGGGTAATTCCATGTATTTATATTGTCATATTTAGAAATTTTGCTGACATGGACTGAAAACCTATATGAATATATTTTATATCTGATTAATGCACCTCTTGGCTCAGATTTTCATTAGTAAGAAAACCAAGGTAAATAAATATCTTACTGTGTCACGTAACTTCGAACAAGGCCAACCTTGAATGTGCAGAAGAAAAATTTCAGACAAGGGGGTGGGTTCGAGGGTGTGAGAAGTGACAGGTGGCCAGTTGTTTGTAGGGCACCCTCAAAGCAGGTTATGCTTTTGGTTTTTCTATCATCTGTTTAAAAACGTCAGTTTCCTTGTGCACTAAATCGTACATAATGCGGGGCCTTGTTTGAAGTTACGTGACACTGTCTATAATACTGTGTAACAAAACTGTTCACTGCAGACATAACCACACTGAGAGCTGAAATGTGAAGATCCTTTGTAGCAACAGATCCTCTTGATACTGGAAGTACATATTAATGCTAATGTACGGCATGATAGAAACATACATTTGCAAATACATAAACTCCCAAATGAATGCTTTCACTCATTTTGGGTTTAATTCATAAAGCCCCAAAACAATTCTCTCAAATTACATTTTATCTTCAACAGTTAAGGATTAAAGTCTCTTGGAGAAATGTCAAAATGTGGTGTGTGTCCTTATTTTCAACACTGTACATACCAGTGTTTCAAATTACACAGAAACCCTCTCAAGTGCTTTTCCCAAAGGATGAGCATTCTGAACATTATCCAAATGAATGAATGCAGATGGGGTAGGCCTAAATCAGCCCTTGCACTGCGACCTTTGATTCTAAATGCTGTAAGTAGAATAACATTCATGCTTTAAAACAGAATGCTAGTTCAGTATCCAGTATTCAGTATTGGGAATATTAAATATTGGCACGTCTATGGAAAAATTGTACACTACCTTGTGTTCTCCCTGCAATGAAATTTTGGATTTTCCCCAAGTGTGACTGGAATTGTCTATGGGTCTTCCTCATATCCTAGCAAAGGTGCTAGATTGTCATATCCCAGAGTGTGATTCGAATCTCCTATGTGGGGTTTCCTCACATGTGATTTTCTTTTTCCTTGGCAGTACAGCCCCAGTGGGCCTAGGCCTACCTCCATGAATTTCTCCATTCACGTCGGTTTTTCTAGATCTTACACATTCGGTAGGACTCCTTGGGCGGGTGATCAGCTCGTCTCAAGGCCTCTACCTGTAGACAAACACAGAAAAATGCGCACACACAAATTAACATCCATGCCCTGAGTGGGATTTGAACCCACGATCCCGGTTTCCAAGCGAGCGAAGACAGTACATGCCTTAGACCGCTCGGCTACCATGACCGGCTCCTCACATGTGATAAGAACTGCATAATAAAATGGGCAAAGAATATGATTTGGAATCAAGCTCATGCATGTAATAGAAAAATAATTTTTCTAGGTTTTCTGTCCTAAATGAACAACTTTTGTATTTACATATGTCCATTATTATTATTTTCTGAGATAGAGAATGTGATGGATAAATGGACTGTCAATTATATATATTCCTAATTCTTAGAAAGAAGGCATTACATACCTGCAAACAAATTTCAGCATTAGTTTCCTACACCATTTAAATTAAAAAAAAGTAAACTTCATAAAACAGTGGGGTTTAAATTGAACTGTCTTATACTCATAGAAAATGTTAACAAGATGAAGTTGAAGGAGGGAGAGTCAAAAAAAGTATTAAATGCTGTGTGTGGGAAACCACCATAACTAGGAAGCAGTATAAGACAGAAATGATAACACCATTTATAGGAAAGCTTCATAAAAACATTATATTGAGGCTTCACCATATAAGTTGTTGAGCAGCTGTTTAAAATGCTAAATGACAAAGCCCTCTCTCTCAAGAAAATCTACCGAGTGCTAATACCATATTCATTAGCAACATTTTCAGCTATAACCAATTTCTGGACATCAGTGACACCTGCATAAATCTCAGTGATGCGGGCATCACGGTAATGCCTTTCAGCTGGCATATCAGTCACATAGCCCATACCTCCAAGAATCTGAACACAATTGTGGGCAACAAAAGTGGCTGCTTCTGAAGATGCCAGCTTAGCCATTGATGAATACTGAAATAAAGATATTACATTATACAAAAATCAAACACTCATCAGATAATCATACAAATACCATGCAAAATGTATACGTTTGGGTGTCGAACATTTCTAAATTGTTTTCAGTATTAAAACTACAACTTCTTTACAAGGTTAAAAAACTCACAAGAGTAGCATTCTTACATACCTTAGTGCTTCTTTCACCAGTGTCACGTATTACAGCAGCTCTCCAAGTTAAAAGTCGAGCAGCTTCCAAGCGTAGAGCCATATCAGCTAGTCTTTGCTGTATGAAAAAAATAATCACAGCTGCATTGTTGAAATGTACAAACTGCCAAAGTGTTAACTTTAACTTTCTCCATACATCATGGAACACAATCTTTTTATTTTAATATGGAATGGAGAGGAATCAAATGTATTCCTTTATGGTCATCCTGTTGGCAGATTCTCTTCTTGGTACCATAACATACAATCTATTTTTCTTGAAAAAACTTCTGGATATACAATTCTCTGGTTTATCATAACTGAACCAAATTATAGTATGAAAAATCAGCACTGATTTACTTATTTTAAGAGGGAGGGGGGGAAGCCAATAACATACCTCCCAATTTGTTCCCAATTTCAAAGCGATATTTATAATAACCACAGCAGTTCATCAGCAAAGGCCTTTCCTTTCTGTGTGCACTCTGAACTGGGTCAGTGCTCCCTATGCTCCTCCTGGTTCTCTCTGTGTCCTCTTACACACCTTGGTGACTCTTCCACTGGCTCTCTCACGGTTCTTTCTAGCTTGCATTGGCCTATATCAGGCAAGATCTTCCACATGTGGTTCCTTTAGCTTCCAAACTTCTTCTGTCAGTTTTGTGTCTGGCTCACTCTTCAGCCTTGAAGATGAGGATGACATGCTCCTCCAATATGTCAGGCTGTCTATGAACTACATGGCATTACAACCTATATGACCACATTCTTCATAGTCATCACTGTGAGAGACTCAGAGTCCAAAATAATAATCTTGGTTGTGGAATATTAATCACTTACATTCAAATCTATTCAACAAACACTTGTGGCTAAGTCTGAAGTAAAAATTCTAAATAGGAAGTAAAAATTTTGTATTTGATTTTCTTCTGAAATATCCTGTCTAAAATTAGGGGCCCATAAATTACGCAAATAAATACAATTTTATTAGAATGAGAGCTGTTACGAAGAAAAAACACAATTCCAAGAATAAATTTCTGCTCTACCATTTCAGATATTACTGAAAGTATGTGTACAGATTCTATTTTTTCAGCGATAACAGCATTTATCCTCTGCTTTGTGCTGTCACCTTTGAAGTAGTTCCATTGTGACTTGATCAGTGAGTCCAGCAATCATGCCATTGCTGGAAACATTTACAAAGTCCTGTATTCTGAACTCTGCAGATGGAGCATGTGACTGTTCTTGAATTGTGATGATGTTATCAAATATCATCATCTTCAATGTGTACTTGAGGTTCAGGAAAACAGAAAAGCCAGAAAGGAAACTGCTGATCTCTCTGTAGTTTTTCCTGACAAACACCGACATGATTTTACCTTTGCTCCTCACCAGACAAGGCACAAATTTTGTGTAACATGTCTCATTTCAAGGACAAGTTCCTTTCACTGTTCTTTGAAATCTGCCACTTCCTGACAAAATGTAAATCACAGAGAGCACACCAAACAACCTCACTTCACAAGACATTACTGCTGAGTATCACAAATTACAACTTCAAAAACAACAGCTAATGACAGCATATTCTGCTCTACTTCACCTAGCAGAGAAGTTTTGGCCTGACTACTGCCAGGCTGCAATATGAACTGTTCTTGATTCTGAAAATGGAAAACCTAACCAATCTACTCCATGATGCAGGATAATTTCTGAAAAGTTAAAAGTTGTTCAGCTGGTCAAGATCTTCCGGCTTTTATGAAACCCAATGGTTCATCACTGTTCTCACAAAATCTTACTGGATCCTATTCTTAACTGCTATAGATACACCTTCATATTTCAGTTCTCTAAGATTCATATTAAAATGGATCTTAGAGAGATAGGATGGGATGGTATGGATTGGATAGATCTGGCTCTAGATAGGGACCAGTGGAGGGCTCTTGTGAACACGGTAATGAACCTTTGGGTTCCATAAAATGCTGGGAAATTCTTGAGTAGCTGCAGAATTGGCGGCTCCTCCAGAAGGGCTCAGCTCCATGAGTAAGTAAGTAAGTAAGATTCATTTCTATGTTATGGCCCCATTTACATACTGGTCTCCCAGTACCCTTCAGGTTTCTGTGACTAAAACACTGTGACATATGGGCCATTTCTATAACTATAGAGGAATGCCATCATTGCTATGCAACGACTCCATAAACATTCTCGCGGCAACGGATATAGACAAATTTGTTTATTATATATTCTTTGCATGACCTGAATAAACTGAATGCAAATTTACAAAGAAGAGCACAGAAGGACACCATAAATTACCCACATACTATGTTTCACTTTTGCACTGATGGAACAATACTTTTAATATGATATCAACTGGTAATTCACCTGCACACTCTGTAATTTGATGATAGGTCCTCCAAATGCAATCCGTTTAGATGCATAGTCAACTGCACAATCCAAAGCTGCCTGTGCAATACCTAGGGCTTGTGATGAGATCCCGATACGTGCACCATCTATAAACAAAATGTTTGAAGGTTACATTCTTATATTATGGATATCAAAACCATGTCATGCAGTAATTTGAATCAGCCTTAGAAATATACAAACACAAAATCTCAAGGTTCAAAATAAGCAAGTACAGTATGTACATATACATTACAAGAAACTATTTTTATTTATACCTCTTTACAGATAGAAAAATATTTCCTTTGTGTCATATCCTCAACCACAAAGGAAGTGATTTCTTGGCTTTTCCCACACATGGATCAGAACTCTTGTGAGTAACTTTCGCATTCTTTGGCATGTTTGCTTCAGCCTAGCCCTAATGGCTTCTATATTTTCATTAATAGCTCTCAAAAAATTCATTGATATGAAATTGTCTTGCAACAGATGTTACACTTTCATCACACTCTAGTTAATCAAGCACATAATTTTTTTGTTCTAGAGCAAGGGTCTCCAAACTACGGCCCGCGAAAGAACTGTGCAGAAATGGCCCATTTGAACTAATTTTCCAATGAGTACTGGTAAAAAAAAATACTTGTTCATAGATTTCAAATTCATTAATTAAGATTGTGTTTGAAATATATTGATATTCCATATTATGTTAATATTAATATTATTCACAATTTTACTAATTCTGGACCGTATACTGCGCGGTATTTCTTCATACTTGTTCGGCCTCGATTGGCACTGTCACTTCGTGGCAATGTAGGTAGCGCAAGCAGTTCGTTACTAGCCATCTTGTGCACAAGACTTCTTGCAGTGGTGCAGTGTAATTGTAGCAGATCATCACCGCTGGTGTTGTACTTATTACCATTTTTGTATTAAAGACAACTTATGCCCAGTTTTGCTCTAGCTGTTCCAAGAATTGGTAGCAAGGAAGGTTGATAAGGCTACTGGAACTTTAGTCCATTCTACGATGGCTGGTGTGGTACAGCTATCGGTTACCCCTCCCAGCCGACAAAGGATGTTTCCAGAACGTTCTCAATGTGTAGGAGTAGAGGAGTCCAGTCCGCAACAGTTCAGTTCAGTCCACAGCCGGTCTGTACATAAGTGTACGAAGAGTAATGTGTGTAGTGTAGTTGATGTGTGTAATAAAGTAAGTGATTATTAAAAGTCAGTGGTTACAGTTACATAATATTCAATTTGTAACTGAATAAATTTATTCATATATTTGCTTGTACAGAGATCTTGTAATTTTAATAATTTCATAATTATATATAAATTTATTTATTTAAACATTTTAAATTAACAAGAGTGTACATAGTAAAATTACTAGAATAGTTTTCATTTTTATTTAGTATTCGTTTTATTAATAATTTTTTTATTATTATTCTCTTTTCAAGTTTTAACATGGAAGGAAAAAAGAAGAGAAAAATTGACGATGAATGTCATGCATTTAATGAAGAATAGGGTGTAAACTATTTCTTCATACAATCGAATTCAAAGGATAAAGCTGTATGTCTGATATGTAAAGATACTGTTGCTGTGTTGAAAGAATACAATATATGTCATCACTATGACACGAAGCATGCTTCAACGTTTTCACAATTTAAAGAAAAGCAGCGTTCAGATAAATTTGAATCATTACGTCATTGTCTGCATTCTCAGCAAGACTTATTTACAAAAGCAACATCAGAAAATGAAACCTTAACCTTGGTAAGCTATAAGGTTGCTTATGTGTTGGCTAAAAAAGGAAAACCATTCACTGATGGCAATATCATCAAAGAGTGTATGATGGAAGCAGTGACTGAGTTGTGACCCGAAAAACTTAATCTTTTTAAAATGATAAGTCTTGCACCAAACATTGTTGCTCGTCGGATTGAAAATATGGGAAATAATATTGTCCAGCAAATTGTAGGCAAAGCACAGTGTTTCAGTCGGTATTCTCTCACGCTGGATGAATCAACTAATGTTTGTAATACCTCTCAACTACTAGTATTTTTTCGTGGCGTCGACGATGAACTTAATGTCACACGGGAATAAGCATCACTTCACAGCATGCATGGCACTAAAACAGGAGATGATATCTTCAAAGATATATAAAAAAACACTGACAGAATATAATTTGGACTGGAGCCGTCTGCAGTGCGTGATAGTTGATGGAGGAAAAAACATGTCTGGTATAAAAATAGGTTTGGTTGACCAAATCACAAAAGCTTGAGAGGATGCAGGAATATCAGAGCAAATGTTTCTGAGCTTATTGACGTGACATATTATACTGCAGTTCAATGGCTTAGCTGTGGAAAGGTTCTTTCACGCTTCTTTCAGCTCAGGAATGAAATTAATATATTTCTTACCAAGAAAAACCATCACGTACCACTTTTATCAGATACCAAGTGGCTTTGGAAATTAGCATTTTTTGCTGCTCTGATGAACCATATGAACAATTTGAATTTAAAGTTGCAGGGTGAAAATAACTTAGTCTGTGATTCATTTGCACTTATCAAGGCATTCAGAGCAAGGTTGATACTTCTGGAAAGCCAAGTGAAAAATTGTACCTTTGTTCATATGCTATACTGTGCAGAGTTGCATAAAAAGGGTGAAGCAGAATTTCCTTCCACATTTGCAAATTTAGTCACTTCAGGTTTGAAAGAACAATTTCGGAAGCAATTTGCTGAATTGAATTCCAATGCTCAGGAAATTAAATTGTTTCAAAATCCATTTGACTGTGATGCTACAGATGTCCCAAGTCAAATTCAAATGGAAATTATTGAACTTCAGGAAAATTATCATATTAAAGACAAATACAAGGAAGGAACTTTGATCAAATTTTATAAATTTCTGAACTCTGAGCAATTTCCAGATTTAAAGGAATTTGCTTGTAAATTTATCTCCATTTTTGTGATGACATATCTGTGTGAACAAACTTTTTCCCAGATGAAGTATATCAAGTCGAAATACAGGGCAAATTTATCCGATGAACATTTAAAGTTGCTACTTGTGATTAGCATTTCAAAATTTGAACCTCAATTTAATCAGATTTTAAGAATGCAAAAAGAGTTCCATCATTCACATTAATTGTTTTATTATAATTTGTGATGAAAATATGAGCATTTGCTGCTACTGTCTGTTGTCATTAATATACGATAATTTATTCTCACGTACTTTGTATTTAGTTTATGAAATTCTGTGCTTTCAATAAAACTCATATACCTAGGGTTATTAATTTCTCATTTTATCCAGCCCGTTGAAAATGCTGAATTACCTAATGTGGCCCGCGTTTCAAAAAGTTTGGAGACCCCTGTAATAGAGTTCTGACTTTTCCAACTTCATTTTCAATGACCTCTTACATTTATGCTCTAAGGTAATATTTTAGGGCAAAACAATATAGCAGTTTATAAAAAAAGGGAAAGTTATTTGAAGCAGTGAAGTACATGTTACATTATCTGAACACAGATATTCTTACAGCGAGTCACAGTAGCAATTTGAGGTTCGATGGCAGGCATGGATCCCAAATGACCTCAGCTTTAGGCATGCAGATGCTAACCAATGGACAACCAAAACTTGACCCACACAGCACAGAACAGTTGTATAAATATAAAATAATTTAGTAAACACCATCAAATTACAATATAAAATTATATTCATTTACTCAATATTCTAGGACATTTTGACCTAAAAGGGTCATTGTCTTTGGTGTTCTACTTGCCAATACTTTTAGAACAGTCAGTCAAGGTTTCTCATCCTGAAATCTTATATTATAATTAATAAAGCTTAGTATGATACAATGTACTGATCAGTGGCGTGGCGTGCATGGAAGCAAGGGAATCATTGCTTCCGTAGTTAAGAAACGAAAAGAAAATAAGTCATGTATAAATAATTCAATTTGAATAATAAGGATTTGAATATTGTCATTTAGTGCATGTTCCTGCTCAAGGCCACATGCCTCCTCCACCTGCTCCCTTTCCCTGCTTGGTGGGTGGACCAAGTTTCCTTCGTTAAACTTCGTAATAATTCGTCTCACACGAAGTGGGCAAGGAAGCAACTTTCGGTTTGCTGGCTAATGCCTGTGATATGGAAGTGAAGGACTGTTTTTTCAATGGTTATGTGAAAATTAACTTTTATGTGTGATTTCAGTCTTGTTGGGTGTTATAGGTAACATTAAGTTTCATTAAAATATTGTAAGTGCATATTTATATGGCGTAAGATTGTATTTGTGATTGTATTTTGATGCATCAGAAAGAAGCTATCCGCTTTTAAGGGAAGCAAATCTGACATTGCGGTAAGATGGGCAGGGGAGTGAGTAGACTACACACACAGGCCACAGCTAAAATGAATGCTGGCAGACGTGACTGCGACTGTGCAATCAAAAGCCTTTTAAAAGGGGGGTATAATAGCAGGGACTTTTCTGAAAAGAAAAGAATTATAGAAAGAGGACAACCAACATGAGAGTTGCCAGAAATTAAAAGTATAAACCAAATTATGTGTGAGGAAATTTAATTTGGAACAGTATTCTAAAACGGAATGGCTATCCGGTTGCCATAATATAGGAAAATTGTTTTGTTGGCCACGTCTATTGTTTCTCAATGAAAAAAAAATGTATGGAACAAGACTGGGTTTGGTGACATCAACAACCTTCATAAAGCATTGAAATGACATGAGAACTCTCCGACTCACATTATTTCAACAATGCAACTTGTTATGTTCGGGAAATCTCGAATTGACTGTCAACTTGACAATCAAAAGCACCTGACGATACTACATAAAGAAACGCTCGATTGATATCATGCCTACGTGGTCATGATGAAAGCGTGGAGTCTATCAACCGCGGTAATTATGTGGAATTAGTTCACTTGTTGAGGAAATATGATCATAATGTTCACCTTGAGAACAGTACAGTATTTACAGGTTTATCGAACGGAATACAAAACAACCTTATTGACTCCATAAGTGACGTAAATTTTGGTGAGTTGATTGCTATCAGTTCATTTATTAGATACCACTGCTTCCCTAACCAAAAATAGTACCGCACGCCACTGGTACTGACACACTGTACTGAAAGCATAAGTTTTAGAAACATTAAATTCCTGTATTTATCATGTGCAATCCATACATCAGAAATGTCCTTCAATTCCTGTACATAATACATATAATCCATATAAATTATTTTGTGTAAACAAGATTTTTGGATAAGGTTATAATGAATGTATTCAATCCTGCCTCTGCCCTGGTTAGCGTTAAATTATAACTAATGTTAACTAATGTTAAACATTAACCATGATAGAGGCAATGCATATGAATTGCATTTGACAAATGTAAGAATTTTAATGCCTCTTAAACTTATGCTGTCAGTATAACATATCAATGCATTATACCATACTTGCTCTTATTAACTGAAATGTAAGTTTTCAGAATGAAAGAACAATCTAGTAAAACTCTGAATGACTATACTAAAACTATGGCTAACAGAACATCCCTGATGATGACTCTCTGAGGCAGAAAAAAGTAAATAAATATCATTTTAGGTTGTTATTTGACAATGTTTATTAAATTACTTTAAATCACATTGTACTACAATAGTATACAATCCAATGTGAAAAAATATATAAATATAAATCATGAAGAAAGCAGTATTCTGGGATTTGGCACCGTGTATATGTGGTGTTAACCGATGTTTCGGAGGAACGTATCGCCTCCATCTTCAGGTAGAAGGAAAAATATAAGAAATCTGCAAGCGAAGAGACCGTGAGAACCTGCTTTTACCGGTTCTCACAGTCTCTTCGCTTGCGGATTTCTTATATTTTTCCTTCTACCCTGAAGACGGAGGCGATACGTTCCTCCGAAACGTCAGTTAACACCACATATACACAGTGCCAAATCCCAGAAGACTTCTTTCTTCATAGTCACCGCCGTGAAACCCTCAAATCTTACACAATATAAATCATGTTCAAACAGAACCATGTTAACCCTGCTACTATTGTATGTGTAAATTAAGTAAGCTGAGCAAGTCTCAGCAGACTAGGACACTATGTGGGAATACCAGAAATGTATGCATAATCAATGACTTTTTTGTATTATCAGCTTTACTTGCCTAACATGCTCATTGCAAGTTTGAAGCCACCTCCAACTTCGCCTAACACATGTTCTCGGGGAACTTTAACATCTTCCAGGATCAGGTTGCAAGTTGAAGAAGCACGTATACCCATTTTATCTTCTTTCTTTCCTAATGAAAAACCTGAAAATAAAATACAGCTTGGTCACTTTAAACACATTCTTTGTATTCAAAAATGTTATGCAGTTTCGTTAAATGAATGTTCAAAATACGAACCTGGGGTTGGGATAGGGATCAGAAATGCTGTGATGCCTCTATGCTTTTTGCTCTTGTCAATAGTAGCAAACACTACAGCTGCCTTTGCTTCATAGGCACTTGTCACCCATGCCTTTGTACCATTCAAAACCCATTCATCACCATCAAGTTTTGCTGTCGTCAGCATAGCTCCTACATCACTACCTGCACCTATAGTGAAATTAATAATTGAAATCAGTACATATTCTAACCCTTCCTAAATTGTTAATCAACATCTGAAATAAATAACTTGCATGCACAAATTGTTTCATGAATTTATGTAGGAATAATTTATACACATTCTCACAGTGTACATGTGCGTGTGTATAATTATTTTTTAAAGGCCTGAAGATTTTAATCTATTACATGTCTAAAGTGGTAGATGAGATTCCCACCATGGAGATACAGGCTTTATATAGGGAAGTCAATGTGGGATTTTTGGTGAACAAAATGGAAATGGGGAGATTTTCTCTTGGTACTTCGTATCTTCTCCCACCCATCATTACCCCATTAATGCTTCATATTCATCTATCACGGCCCACAAACTGTGAAAAAGGCTTAACCAGCCAGCACAATATCATAAACTCTGTCTTGAGCTGAGACCTGGCATTTGGCCAGACTCAGGAGTAAGGTTTTCTGGAATGGGGTATTCATAATAAATGGTCTCTCTACTTTTATACTCTCTTATACACATATTCTGAACATAATTTACAACTGCCCCTTAAAACTCATTTCTTTCCTCTTGTGGAAGTAATCTTAAAAATTTCATTTCTGCCATCTGTACTTCAATTTCTCTCAGCCTCTTATTTACTTACTTACTTACTTACTTACTCATGGAGCTGGGCCCTTCTGGAGGAGCCACCAATTCTGCAACTACTCAAGAATTTCCCAGCATTCTATGGAACCCGAAGGTTCATTACCGTGTTCACAAGAGCCTCAAAACCTGTATATTTCTATATTAAACCTACGGTTACTTACTTACTTATTTACTCATGGGGGCCGCGCCACAGCTCAAGCAGTTAGTCGCTGGCTTCCCACCGTGACGGCCCTGGTTCGATCCCGAGTCTGGTCAAGTGGGATTTGTGGTGGACAAAGTGGCTCTGGGGCAGGTTTTCTCAGAGTACTTCGGTTTCCCCTGCCAATCTTCATTCCACCAATTGCTCCACAATCACCCTCGCCTATGATCTGGGGCTGGTACAATAGGCCAGAAGTGGCCGCAGTACAAGGGACTTAGTCCCACCTCACTAGCAATAAAAAAATATAATACTTACTCACAGAGCTAAGCCCTTCTGGAAGTGCTGCCAATTCTGCAGCTACTCAAGAATTTTCCAGCATTTTATGGAACCCGACAGTTCATTACCGTGTTCACAAGAGCCCTCCATTGGTCCCTTTCCTGAGACAGATCTATCCAGTCCATACCATCCCATCCTATCTCTCTAAGATCCATTCTAATATTGTCCAGCCACCTATGCCTTGGTCTTCTCTGTGGTCTCTTTCCTTCTGGCTTTCCCACCAATATCCTATACGCATTCATCTCCCCCATTCGTGCTACATGACCTGCCCACCTCATCCTCCTTGACTTGATCATTCTAATTATACTTGGAGAAGAGTACAAGTTATGAAGCTCCTCATGATGCAGTTTTCTCCAACCTCATGTCACTTCATCTCTCTTCGGTCCAAATATTCTCCTCAACACCCTGTTCTCAAACACCCTCAGTCTATGTTCCTCCCTTAATGTCAGAGACCAAGTTTCACACCCATACAGAACCACAGGCAAAATTATAGTTTTGTATATTCTAATTTTTATGTTTTTGGACAGCAGACGAGAAGACAAAAGGTTATGGACTGAATGGTAGCAAGCATTACCCGAGTTCAATCACCTCTTAATTTCCTCCTGAATCAGGTTTCGATCTGTTATTTTCTCAATTTGGAAACCTTCCATGCACTGAGGCCTCTTCTATACTTTATAATGCATGCTATTCTAAATGTAATAGAATAATTCTGCTGCACATAGGAGTCCTGAATGTTATGGCATCCATAAAACAGATTCCAGGTCACCTTCCATATTGCTGGTGTATTCATTTCTGATCCTCTGCTTACCTGGTTCACTAATGCCAAAACATCCAACATGGGTGCCATCTGCAAAACCAACAAGGAACTTATCCTTTTGTTCTTTGGTTCCCAGCTGATCCAACACATTTGCATATAATGTATTGTGGACACTAACAATGGTTCCAGTACCTCCACAGCCCCTGCAAATTAAACACTCTATTTATAATTAAATGTAACAAAACACATCATATACATTATTCAGCATCTTTAAATGGATTTTACAGTTACCACACCAGCACTAGTGAAATGAGTCATTATGCTTGGTTCTTTAATGGTACGTAGATTTAAAAAGATGATACTAAACAGCAGCAAGACATGAACGCTACAATTTAAAATGTTTTGAAGAGCTAAATCAGTAAAATTAATTTATTATGTAAATCCACAAACTACACTTCTGATATGCCATGTTGCCCCCTTTACCAACTAAATTTAGTTTGAACATAATCCCTTACCCCCATGTCATTCCACATCCTTTCAGGGAAGAGAAGAGGATGAAAGGAGTTTGGACCTAAACTTCTCACTTTAGTATTGTTCTGAAGAACAACAGTGCAGATTTCAAATATAATGGTCAAACACTGGATAGCAACTTCATTATTTTTGCTTCTTACAAACCAAAAAGTAAATATATACATGTACTAAGGATTACAGAATTTAAAAGCACAACCTTTCTTGAACGGAATGTTTATCTCCTCAGAAGTGAATGTGAAGAGGCACTTTTCCAGTTGGCTCCACTAGACAATGTTAATCACTAGACAATGGAGTCACTAAAACTACACCTATAGGTGCACCTGGGATCATGTTTTTTCAGTAGGAGACAACAGGAAAATTTAGAATAGAAATTGTGGAAATGCACATTAAGAACTAAAACCATGACAGAGAAGGAAGTCAAAAACATAACGACTGAACATGAGCAAAAAACCAAGACCAGAAATACTGATGCACAATAAATCAAGATTACAAACCATATAATACCCATCTACTGCTAACATCACCTATAGACCAAAAAGGAACCCTCAAAATAAATTCATTGGTGTGCATGAAAGCCTAACAGATCCTACTGACATTCTCTATATACTGCTGACTTCCTGGAGAAGAATCAATATGAAAGAAGTTCCAAAAATATTTTGGCTGATCAGCTTTGTCAAACACACCATACAGGCTGATTACCTGCAGTTCCTATATCTGCTCTTAGTTTCATTTTGTAAAATCCTGGCTCCTTCCAGCTTGCCTTATGGCTTTCTTAAAAAGAATGTTGGGCCAGTTTAGATTTTTCTAGAACACCCTCTTTGAGCCACTCATATTCTGTTATATCCTACTGTGTAAATCACTATAGGAAATATCTATTATATTCCTGTCAACAGTTGTGCCTGTGATCCAGGCTAGTGGTCTGCCTGTTTTGCCAATATAACTTCTGCAACATACACTGGGAATGCTATAGACATATAGAGCTATAGACCCATCTGTTGCACATTTCTTTCTAGTCTGGTTTTTCATAAGTTAACTCCCAAGAATGCTTTTCGTTTTGAAGACTCTTCTCATTCTGTAATAATTTGGTATGCATTGGAATTTTTCAGAAACTCCCTTCACATAGAGAATAAAAACATAGGATTTCTTTCCCATTTTCTTGATGACTACTTTCCCTAGAATTAAAAACTGAGCCAATGATAACTATTGCAGATAGCCACTGAGCTGAAGATTGCACCTCAGGTTGCCAGTTTCGATGACCAAGCCTTGCTGCTCTTGGCATAAGGTAGCGGGTCTACTGTGTAGGCTCTGTGCTATTCCTTTTTTAACAGTGGGTAGATGTCTGCATTTAAAGTTAGGACAGAAATCCTTAGTGGTACCTGTCGGCCCCTTTGTAATCACAACAACACCCAGAAAAGGGATCACATTATGTGACTATATTTCCATGGTAAACTGGATGGAAGGTGGTTGAAGAAATTCTGTAACCTGTCTGTACAATATGACTAGACCATAAATGTATCACCTACATTGGATCTATTTATTTATTTATTTATTTATTTCATATCATATCTATGGATCATTGTACATGATATAGGACAAGTCAAATACTTTACAATACAATAAGTAATAATAATAATAGTAATAATAATAATAATAATAATAGAATATATAACAAAATGATATAATAGTATACAAAGATAATAAAATTATGATTCGAATGATATATATCCTGGGTGGTTATGGTTATGGAGAGTTTGATGGAATGAAGATTGGCAGGGGAAACCGAAGTACTCGGAGAAAACCTGCCCCAGTGCCACTTTGTCCATCACAAATCCCACTGGACCAGACCGCCTCGGTGGGAAGCCAGCGACTAACCGCTTAAGCTGTGGCACGGCCTTAGAGATATATAGCATTCCATGCAAATGTGGCAGAAGCTACATTCTGCAATCAGGCCAATCACTAGCTGAGAAAGCAGAGGCATATATATTCTCAAAGAGGGTCTTGTAGATGAATCTAAACAGGATCAATATCCTTATGAAGGCCATTGGGCAGGCTGGAATTAAGCCCAGATTTTGAAAATCGAAACTAACAGTAGATATAAGAAATTTAAGGAGTGGGCCCATATGGCATGTTTGACAAATCTGATCAGCCAAATCAGTTTGAAAATTTCTGCCACATGGATTCCCTTCATCAGCAAGGAGGTTAGAAATTTATTCCCTTAAACTGCAAACATCCTTGCTGACATTTACTGGGTCAGTAGGCCCTGACAGACTCTTCAGTCATCTCTATTAACTTCAACAGAATCCATTTTTGGTCCACAGATGGCACTAGAACTCCAAGAATATATATTTTAATATGGGACACTCCTTGGAAAAAGAACAGATGAGGGGGGGGGGTCTTAATTTTGCTGGAAGTGAATCATTCCGTAGGCACTAGGGTTAACATGGTAAACTGAACAGTAGTGGTAAAGTTTCCTCTCATCATAGTAAAGTACAGCCAATGTCAGAATATGTAAATATAATTACAGACCTTGATGAAGGTTGCATGTTCTGTATCAGTTACATTACTCAAGTCAATAAGGCTGCATTTTCTACATCAGCCACATTACTAAAGCCAATAAACACTGAGAGCCAGTTTTTTGTCACAGCCTTCAAAATTCATATATTTGATCTGGTATCTCTTGAAATCAGGCTGATACTGTACATATATTTAGAAGCAGTTTGATAGGGTTTATGTTGCCTTGCTGGGTGTATAAAATGAGCCCTTCCTAACCCTGACTATTAATCTAGCAACCTTGACTGGAACAGATACGTTACACATTACATAACTCTGAGCCTGATGTTTGCCAGAGCACACTATATTTGTACGTCCTAATATATCAAGATAACTGGCAAACTAAATACTGTACTTTGAGCTATACCAAAAATGTGTTTCAGTTTAAACGTTTGCAGTAAAATCCCTATTAGTGTTCCTTGGTATTAGATTTACACAAGTTTATGGTCCAAGTCTTAAATGACGTGCATTTTAAAGGTATTCCTCACTATGAATCAATAATCAACTCTGTAATCCTCATGAGAAACCTTAAAAAAGGATTCTTATGTATAAATGAATGGCCACTTCTGCACTTATATGCCAAACCCAGGATCTTTCTTTCTTGCTGCTAAATATAAGAAAGTGCTGCTGTATATGAATAATTTTTATTTTAAGCAACCAGTGATAAGATAGATTTCCATTTCAATTTATTTGTGGTTCACGTAATGAACCTTTCAAATGACCTGATTGCATAACATTAAACAACAGGATAATTAGTGAATAATTAATGATCATGGAAAGAAGCAGTTATGTCTAACTTTCAGGTAGTATATTAGAATATCCAGCAGGAACTGAGAAAAACCACAAACACTTTGTTATCAGGACAGTCACTCTGCAGACCAAGATGTGAATCCAGGACCTCCTGAATATAAATCAGGAGTGCTTATCCACTTGAGACCGCCTATGTGGTCTAGTGGTCAGATTTCCTGGCTGCAGATCCAGAGGCCTGGGTTCGATTCCTGGAGCTACCAGATTTTCTGAGAAGTAGTGGGTCTGGAGCAGGGTCCACTCAGCCTTATGAGGATAATGGAGGAGCTATTTCAAGGAAATAGTGGCTCCAGTCTAGAAAACAGAGATTAACTGTCATGGGGATCCTCTGGGCTGACATGACACCCTCTATCTGAAAAAGTTGGTACTTACTCGGCCAACAAGCAGCAGTAGCTTGGTCGCTATAATTCGCTTACGGACTACAGGTCATGGAAGTTTCTTTTTTTATACACTTGACCACAATGTTCATTACAGACTTTTAAAAGGAGCAGGAATCTTTTTGCACTGGCTCTCTCTAAATTCCCTGCTGGCCTATGATACATCCTGGTTTTCTGCACGCAGTTCATTTTGCATCCTGCCCAATTCTTATTGGTTTCTGCTTATATTACTCTTCAAGCCCAAAAATGCAGGCAGTACACTCTTCCAAAATGTAGGTGCACTTCTACCTAACTACATGGTGTTACAACCCAGATGGTAGTACTGGTTTTTCAATTTTAATTTCTCATGAATTTCCATTCATGTACCATCCAAAGTTCACCATATTTATAAGCACTTTTATGCTTGCAGCTTTTAATTTTGGTTTGGGTTCTATCTTTATTGAGGCCAACAGTGCTCTTTGGGAAATGATGTTAACAGAATATGAACTAGAAAATTTCTGGCTTTGTACTTTTCTTGTGCTTTATCATTTTACAGGTTTCTCAGCATGTCTTGGCAAACCAGACCAGAGCTGACATGCCTCCACATAACTCACTCCCTCTCCATTTCTGCCCTAGACACCTATACTAAGTTGTTGATTGGTTTATTAATGTAAATGAACTGTAATTAGAATTATCACTGTCAATGTGACCTTAGACATGGAGTCACCTTCTATAGAAAATCTATGATCAGGCAGAATGGAGACATAAAACTAAAAAATAAAATGCATGTAATTCACCAGCTAACCTGGCTATTTCCTCAACTGCAATGGACAATGCTAATGAATCAAGAGCAGGGCCCCCATATTCTTCGGACACATTGATCCCCATCAAACCAAGTTGTCCTAGTTTCTTGATCTGAAAAAAAAAAAAAAACAAAAAAAACGTTAACTTGGGTCTTAAATACCACTGAAACAATCAAGGTGCAACAAAGGTCTGCCCTTCTCTCTCTCTCTCTCTCTCTCTCTCACACACACACACACCACGATGTTCATTCATTTAGCTGCTTTTCTCAAAAACCCAATAACAATGCAGAACATAAATGAAACTCATTTTACGAGTTTGGTCTTGTATTTTTTTATTTATGAATTTAACTCATGCCATGTATGGCCATGAAGCCGGGATGGCATAGTTGGTATAGCGACTGGCTACAGGCTGGATGGCCAAGGGTTCAAAGTTCAAGTCCTGGTAGGGTCAAGAATTTTCTCTTCTCCATGTGGTCCAGACCAGCTCTGGGGCCCACACAGCCTCCTACCCAATGGGTACTGGGGGCTCTTTCCCTAGGGGTAAAGCAGCAGGGTCATGAAGCTGACCACTCACCTCCAGCTAATTCCAAGGTCAAGAAAATGTGTATTTACATATCCACTCCCCTACACACCTTCATGGTGTAGTGCTTAATTAGTTAAGCACAGGGACTGATGAAAACCATGATAAGTCTTGGTCAGGATAGCCAGTGTCCCAGCCAACATCGAACCAAGCACATTCTGAATACAAACCTACAGCATTACTACTATGCCATCCTGCTTGATACCTCATTTTTTCATTACACAGATGTCACTGTTGCNGGGGTGCATGTGCTTAAACTACTCTTGCAGTCTCAACTACAAACAAAAACAAAATTTCCACTGCTGATAGCATGTATATAAGAGTGCATTAATGTATGAATTATCTGTGGAAACTTTAGCTATATAGGAATTGTTTATTTCAAAGGTTTCAAACATTCATTGCATTCTAAATAATTCAGAATAACATAAAAGTGTGAAAAAGTAAAAGGTAAAGATGTCCTTGCATTTAATTAACTGAGCACCCTTCTGTGAAGACATAAAGGAGAGTGGAGGTACAGCGCCACTATCCTTGATCTTGGCACTAGATGGAGGTGAGTGGTCAGCTTCACCCCCAGGCTGCTTTACCTCTGGAGGAAGAGACCCAGGTACCCATTGGATGGATAGCTGGGTGGGCCTCAGAGCTGGTCTGGATGCTGTGGGTCAGAAATCTCTTGCCTTACCAGGAATCGAACCTCAGCCATCCAGCCCACAGCCCACTGATATGCTGAATGAGCTATCCTAGCTCCCCAATGTGCAAGTGTATACTAATAAAAGCAAGAACTGCAAAACATACATGAGAAAAGATGGAGTGTGTAGTGGTAATACAAAAATAACAGCTATTAGTGGAATTTATGAAGTCTGTTGATGCTGATTTTGTACCTGAAGCCAAATGACTGAATCAAAGCTTCTTATAATTTATCAAGATGTGACTGAACAAAATGTATCTCTGTTGCTTGGTGTTAAACTGAATCACCATTATGATATCCCGTTGCAGATTAGGAAACAAAAGGTTAGGATTTCTAAAGAAACTGTTTTTATAGACAACCTCCACCAAAAACATTTGCTGTAGACAGAACCACCACTCAGTGCAAGCTGCTATTCTATGAAGTCTCAGTAGAAATGTACCTGCTTTGCCTGGGTTTCTCAAATTAACACTAAGTATTACTTACAACAGTTTGTTCTTAATAATTTTCCATTGAAATTTCAATTGGCTGTATAAATAGTATGTTCAATGAGTAGCACCACTTCATTTACCTACCACTTTAGGTAGGTCAGTAAGCAGATTTATGTTAGACAGGTTATTTCTTTGTTATAGTAAAATCTACTGTATAAACGGATCTCTGGTGAGGGTGAGAGTAGTCCAACTCTGTGCTAATATTCCCTGCACTGGTACTTACTCCAGTTGATTTACCTACACCAGATTCCTGGTGGAGTAATATAGGGTCTCTTAATAAATAAAGAACCCCACATAACTTATATAATGTCAAACAATACTTCACATCACCACTGAAGAGTTCTTGTGCAGGGCATCCAAATCAATTCCACTGTTTCGCAACACAGAAAGCCAATGAAGGTTAATGTGGACCCTGTATTTCTGACATTTTTTATTCAAAATGTCCATAACACAGCTTACATCTACATGCTGCCATCAACAGGAAACAACACCCACATCAGAATGGTACCACTTTGAAAATATGGAAGTGAGTTAATGACATGGCATGTTGATAACAGTGGTGAATCCTGTGAGCAAATGCATATATCATGGCATGACCAGGCAGTTCTAACAACTAAACTTCCTCTCTTTTTTTCATGGAAACACATGCACTAAAGCAGTTACATGCAAAGCTAAATGCTGTGATGTAGAAGCTACACAATGCCTACGGTATAGTCCTTGCACAACAGAGCTTTTACTGAAGAGTGAAAACTTTTTATGTATCCCTACAACTGCAGTGGTCTGGTGGAGCATTACATGCAGACCACAGCATTCACTGCTAGCTGACAAAGAGAACAGTTGAAATTTCACATACAAATAGGACGTTACACACGAAATATCTGTGAACTTACAACCGGTCACTTTACTTTTTTTTCTGATAAAGTCTGTGCTAATATGACACTTCTTTACAAAAATGTTAAACATAAACAAATTTCATAGAAGCCCACCTGTTCTTCCGGAAATAAATGCTCACGGTCTAGCTTGGCAGCAATTGGCTTCAACTCTCCTTCTGCAAAATCTCTGCAAGTTTTCTGCAGCATTTTATGTGTTTCTGGTAGAGACGCCAAAGAAAAGCCCCCATAGTGCCTTTGTTGACACAAACCTGGCAAAATATAAATTGTGTGAAAAAGCATACATCTACCATGTGTGTCTTTACTTCTGGAACTACACGCACATCACATAACTTTTCGTGGGTTAAATACATTCAACAATTGATTACAAACATCACTTTACCTCCTCGAATACGACGTATTATTCCCAGTGCAGCCATTCTGATTTGACATACAGCAAACAAGGACGTTCACCAATTCTCAGTCCTGTCTTGGGTTCCAGGATGCTGAATGGATGGTTAAAGAGTCTAGTCAATATAGGAGGGCTAAAGATCGGCCGCATAATCAAAATAATTTACGTCACTCTCCAACTCAAGGTCTTGGACAGAACCCACTCGCTACCGCCACAAACCGTTCTCGATGACACTCAAGCAGCTCAAGCTCGCTCAGGTTCTACAATTATTCTACTTGCGACAACCAATCATTTACAAAGTATTTCGCGCTTCGATTAAACAGCGAATCCGGTGAAATTAGCCAACTTCGACGAAAAACATTGCACCAGGATTCAACATTTCCAGACCGTGGGCAAGACTGGATATGGTTGCTTGATAAGTGAAAAGAACACGGATCAAAATTTGACTGTTTATCATTGTTCAACTACTGACGTTAATAGTGTTAAGAACTCTACTTTACGCGAGCCAAATGTTACCGAAGAAGGAAGGAAGGTCTCTTCTGTACGCGATTCTACTCAGACATTCTAACCAACAAGGAATCGAAAAGACAAGAGACTATGCAAAAACCCCAGAATGTGGGTTCTAAATCACACACCGGAATGCAACAATTTCACCTAATATGGGACGTGAGAATATCGAATTAACCTTTCCAATATAGCATCGACTGATTTAACCTACGTATAGTACACAACTGCTCAACTTTCGAACGAAGTAAATCCAACCTTACAGACAGAGAAGTCACTAGCCCAGCTCAACTCAGCTAGGCTCTATATTGGCGACACTGACAATGTGCAAAGGAATGGAAGTTTGGAAAGACAAGTGTATGTGTTCGTAGTTATGAAGCAAAGGGAAGAATAAATCCCGATAACACGAAAGTTTAATTTAAAAATTATGTTAAGCATACAAAGAGCACTGAACCGTAGTGTTCCATTATCAAGTACGTCAGGTTATAATTGTTACCTATGTTGTAAATTTTATAGGCTATGTTTTGATGGGTTATATTCAGCCGACTGCCCAACGAAGGCAATGAGCTACATGGCTGCGATTAAACTTTTTGAAACACAAGCATCTTGCTTCAACAAAGAATTTATCATTTTTCAATTTCTGCATCACTCTTTACGCAAGTAGGTGTTAAGAAAATTAAAACAAAAACGTAATGGACAGAGTGCTGCTTGAGAAATTGATGCTCAGTGGTCAGAAAATGCCATGACTAAAAAAAAATATGGAATTGAAGCCCAATTTGAAACGAGTTTTAAACTAAGTTCTGCTGAGAACATTACATTAGCTATCAATATCATTATTCTAAGGCCACGCCATAGCTTAAGCGATTAGTCGCTGGCTTCCCACCACTGTGATCTGAGCAAGTGGGATTTGTGATGGACAAAATGGCGCTGGGGCAGGTTTCCTCCGAGTACTTCGGTTTCCCCTGCCAATGTTCATTCCATCAAATTCTCCATAAATAAGAATATCTAACTAATTCTAAATTGTAATCAGCAGTAAAAAAAATTGTAACTATTGTAATTTTAATCTACTTATATATCAAATTGTTAATATTCAGAATTAACTTGACTTGTCATATATCATGTACAATGATCTACAGTGACGAAATAAATCAATCAATCAATCATCAGTACAGGTAGCAGCCTTTATTACTCAAGGGTTGTAATGTTTCTTCTGGAATTAGGAATATATTCCATATAGTTGTAATATTTGCTTCCCAGCAGTCTGATAAGTCTCTTAGTACAGCCAAAATGTATTTTATTTTTTACAGGGTTTACATGCCTTGGTATTTGGAATGGTCATAAGAACACACATTCTGCTACAACAGAGCTGTTAAGAAATTATAGTACCCAATCTGTAGTTGCTAATACACATGACAGTATATTACCAGCCTGTTTAAGGACTAGAGGCCCCTATCAGTTAACGAGTGGCACTCTCCATAAAAATGAGCAAATAACGCTGTCATTTGTTAATTCAAGAATACTAACAATACAGCCGGCATGCATTTGCCAGGTGGATTTTTCACAGTTTCTTTACAAACCTCAAGCAAGAATTGAGCTACCCGTCATCACCATTATTGATACCTTCCAGTTGCCACCTGCTAGAGACACTGTTGAATCAACTTATGATCCTGAGTATTATATTGAAGCTCCTGCACAGGGTGGGTTGGTTCAAAAACAAGCAGCAAGGTTAATTGTAATAAGACGACGCAAAATGAAAAAGCACAAATTGAAGAAGCTACGAAAAAGAATGAAATTTGAATGGGCAAAAGTTCGTCAACGAAGAGAGATGAGAAAGGAGAAAGCTTTTCAAGCAGGGCTGATTGCTCAGATCAAACAAGCTGAGAAGTTTGATGCTGAGAAGTATGTTGCAGAACGATTGCAGAAAGCTCATAAGGTTCCACTTCCAAGAACTTGGAAGGGAAAACGGCTTCCATTCTTCATCATCAAGCAAAAGTTAGGAATTAAGTAGTTCACTTATTCCTGCCTCACGAGTGTTTGGAATGTATGTAATGGTACACAATATTAAATTTGTATATAAAACTGACCTCTTAAATGTCTCCAATTTTTTTCTTCTCCTCTTAAATGTCTCTGATTTATTTCTTGCTTACCTATATTTGGATCTTAAGCGATTTAGTTTGCATGAAGAGACTAACTAGTAATTCACAAATAGGTTATGAACAAAAAATGGCAGACATTGTTGATAAAAGATTCTGAATATAAATGCCTGTGCTTCTGAGTGAGATAGTATGCACATATGTAGCATGCAAACTATGTTGTTCAGAAACATGTATGAACCAAACTGAAAGTTATATACTGTGGCTTCTTTATAGGTCGCTGTATTTATAAAGAAACTACCTTAAACTCAGCTTCAACATTGATGATGATGGCAACATGTTCTGAAATGTTAGTGGACTTCTACCAAACTTCACAGTGTTACAACCCAGGAGACTGTACTCTTTAACACTGTCAACAGCTTAGTGTCAAATGATAGGCTAATTAGTGAGTAGTGCAATTGTAGGGATGTCAGAGACCACAGAAGCCTGACATGACAAAAAAGATCTGAGTCATAATATTAATCTGGGAGCTGCTGAACATGGAGTACTACCTTCTCAACCTGATATTTGATATTACAGTTCTTATATCATCAGAGTGCAGAATGGGATTGCTAGGGGCAGCTAGAGTTTAGAAATTCTTTGCTCATCTAAACACTGGGATCATGGGTTCAAGTCTCACTCAAGGCCAGGATTTTTCTGCTTTTTTCCTGTTTGTGTTAACCTGTTTCTTGTGAATAGCTCGATCCCTCATCCAAGGAGTTCTACCAAAGTCTGTAAGATAATTCTGAATGGGAACAGGCCAGACAACTTGATGTGGCAAGGGAAAAAGAAAAAAATTTAACCTGTGTTTCCTGTTTTCCTTGCAGTACTTTTTTTGGTTTTCAAATTAAGGTTTCTTACTGAAATTTTGGATCACATGGGCAACATGGACTGTTATTTTTTATGACAGTATGAATAAAAGAAAGTGCTTCAGACCAAAATCTGAAAGGAAATCCTGTATGAAAATTAATATTTTATATAATATTACATTATTTTATTCATGCATTGTTTTTCAGACAAGGTTCTTTAAAAATGAAAGTGGACTTAATGAAGTATGCCTATGTATGATACGCTGCATACTTTACTAACCTTTGTTTTGTTAAAAATAGCCTAACATCACAGGATATAAAATGGAAATAATACATGAGACAGGTTTTGAACAGTATTTTCAGGATTTTTCACTTGTAAACACTTTCATATATTTCTTTTACCTTTTCTTTTTTTCTTCCAGAACAGTGGAAAAGCTTTGTAGATCATACTGGTTAACTAATAATGCAACTGTAGTAGTTGTCCAGAAATTTAAGAATAGAGTTCATTAACATTTTTCATTAAAAATGTATGATTATCTGTGATAACAAGACAACTGTTTAACAGTTTAGTCAAGTGTTTTGAACAAATTTATGAAGTGATCCTTGATTTGATATGCAGTTGTTCAGCATAAATGAAAATTTCTTCCATTATATATTACTTTTCAAATATAGGCCTTTGTAATAACTAAAAAAAAATGACATAACTTAGGATATAACAATGACATCACTTTACTATGCATTTGAAATTTAGTATATGTCAAGTATTTTTCATCTGCCTTGAACACTTGCTAGTGAAGAGAAATCAGAACTATGTGAAATCTAAGTATATAATTAAGTAATTCAATCTTTCTGCATATATGCACACACACACACACACACACACACTCCCTCTCTCTCTCTCTTTACCCTGAGTTTGATCTGTTGTGTCATTAGGTTGTAAACCCTCTCCTGTGTGCTCCTTTCCTACTTCCTCTTAACATCTACATGAACTAAGCTCCACCTACTACAATTTCTCAGTGACTGCATGAAGTACTTATCATGAGATAGAATGTGGCCAGCAACTTATAAACTAGGCACTGCTAAGGAGTTATTCATCAGTACAAAGCCACAATACATGGTAAGTTCTAAGGAAGTAAAATATAACTGGAAATGTGCTGGAATATAAATAATTGAATGGTGTAAAATATAAGACATGACTATATATATGTTCTGTGACTTTGTATGCTAGACAAAGCTTGAATAATGAAATTTTCAACTCATCTTCTTCTGTAGAACTGAAAAGGGAGACAGTGGAAGAATATTTTGTCTCCACGCTGAATTAGAAGACATATTTCATGATGAAAGGAATGAAGTGTGTGTAAGTAATTGTATCATTCATAGTATGAAATTGCATTCTTATTATTAATTTCTTACTCCATGCCGTATGAATTCTTAAGGGATAATTCTGTTTTTAGAAAAACGGTGTCATTATGATATAGCCTTTGTGCCTTGTGATTAGTATCAAAGTTAAAAAAGTTTAACAATTTTAAATTTTTGTAAGCTCCTTAATACACACTTAATAATAAATGATTATGAACATCTTAACAGGAAATTTGTAGATGACTAGTAGCACTCATCAGAACTATCCAATGTTCAAAATTTACAGAAGTAACATAGACTAAAATTGAAACTAGTTCATTTATTTTTCTTCCAGTGGTGAAAATTGTAGATATTTTCCATCAGTTACATACTCCAAATGCATAATTGCATCTAAAAGAGCTCGTTGGTTCAGTTAATTGCAAATGAGTGTAACCCGTAAGTTTAAATATTCTGTTAAGTTTACTTCAGAAATAAATCGGTGTAAAAATATAAATTTCTACAGCACATCTATAAACAGTACACTGAAACCATCAAGAGTTAAGAAAAATATAAATTAAACCTGTACAGTTAAAGGCTGCACCCCAAATCCAGATAATAATGCAAAATGTACATGGTAACATCTACATATGTAGATGTACATACATAAAAGGATGTATTATATTGTACCATCACCACACAACTAATGCTGCACATGTACTGAACTTCAACTGTTACATGTAATGTGTGTCATGCTGTATCAACTACACACTTTTACCTTCATACATGTCCCTGTGTTATTAAGCCACTATAAACACAAATGTTATGTAATTCTTTGTTGAAAGTACAGAAATGTTTTCCTACAATAAAAATTTAATGTAATTATGCACACTCATTAAAATCAACGTACTAAGGTTAGGTTCTAGATTATATTGTTGTGGTGTTTTTGTTTACTTTTTTATATGGCACTCATATTAAAATACTTAAGTATACTACAATGTAAGCCGACTATAAGGTGATCCCTCTATTTCCATGAGAAAATCAGATTTTTTTTTGACAAAACTGAATACATCATTTAGTTCTAAGATTTGTAAGGAAAAAGAAGTAACAACTATACTATTAAGAAATAATAAATTCAAAATTTAATACCTTGGATATAATTCTAGGTATTTTCACAAATATTGTTAGAATTGTTAAGTATAACTTCTCACAATCATCATCTTCATACTTGTATTTGCTCTTAAGAACCAGGAAAAAGGCGACACCTTTTGTCTAAGAAGAAGTATTTGTTCAGTCCATTCCAATAAATTAATGCTGGTCCTCACCAGCATGGACATTCTCAGTTTCAGGCCTGGTCAGGACCCATCACCATACTTATGTTCTTTCGAGACTTGTCCATGTTTTGAAATGAGGGCTCTTCAATGAGAGGAGCGGTTGAAGCAGAATTTGAAAAACAACCTCATTCAGGCTAATATGGTACGTCCAGCAACCAAGCAACAAGCAGAAAATAATAGTACCTCACCAGTCACACTAGACGGAACTGTTTAACTTTTTATGAGTAGTACTTTTCATAATCACCACTCTGCTTGCTTGCTTGGTTTTGTTTTATTGAAGTTAATGCTGTGTTTAGTCTCACCTACAGCTGAACAGTCATTCTCCAGTATGATGTCGCTGATATTTCGGTAACCCTGGCAGAGATATGGCAGCCCATTTGACTGATATCACCAACATCCAACCCTACTGTCCCCACATCATTAAGGAAGCCACTCAGATAAAAAGACAACCCCATAACTTCAGCCATGAAAACATTGTGGCTAAGTGAAGGTTGGCTTCACCATATATGCTAAAACTTTTCATCACCTCTCTTCCTAACCACATGGAGTCTAAAACCATTTTTTCTATCCCTTTTGCCAGCACTTTCTCAGCACCTCCTCCCATAACTGTGTGCCCCTTCAGACTTATTGTCCTAATTATAGTGTAAATGGTTGGTTGGTTGGTTGGTTGGTTTCCAATGGCTGAATTTGGGATCATTTAACCCATTTTGCTTCTTGCTTCCCAATAGAGAACGCTCAAGTTCTTGCTTTGTTGCATCTCCTTGGGAAACTTTGTCAGGGTTGCTCATTTTTCCCTACCCAGGGGACACGTATGACTTAGAGAATGTCACGGATGCAAGAAACTTTGTCCCCCACAGTGTAGATGGTTGCAAAGCAATTTTTTCATCCTCCTTACCATGAGATTGTTAATATTTTTCATCACCTCTTCTACTTACCATGTTGTTGGTCCTTTCTTTCATCCTACCATGACTTCACGTCTCAGGGCTTATGAAGTCCCCCTCAAATATAAACTGCAATGTTTGCAGAAAGCCAGTTCTCTACACGGCATATTCCTGAAAGCTTAAGTTACTCGTATATACAAAATTATTACTTTTAGCCTAATTTCCTTTCCTAAGGAAAAATGTATAATTATAATATCACCATGTTGTGTCTCTGTGTGTGTGTGCCACATTTCAATGTCTGAACCAGCTGACCATTCTTCACAAAATAT